TTGAAATTAGATGTGATTTAGGGGTTCATATCTTTTACAGTTTACCTGCAAGGGGCACAGGGGTAACTGAACTAAAATTAGAAGATAGTTTGCTTCCAGATGAGTAACAGGATGGAGAGGCCCTATTCACAAGGAACGTTGCTTTTTACATTTCCCAGCACCCCCCTCCATGTTGATTGCTTTAAACACTGCTCTATAAATGATTTTTCCAAATCACCCTATTGCCTTATGGGGCCTAACCGTGTGACTTTCCAATGTTTATTGCCTCATTCAACCCATTTGTATGGGCAGGTAATGTCTGCAGACCAGTGACTGGTTCTGGGTGGAGCAGAATTGGGACATCCGATCATATTGCTGATTGACCCCACAAGTATCCCATAACACAGGGTTTCCCAATTCATTCTTCCCTTGGAACCCTTTGACGTGGTATAGCAAAACTTTGTAACCCCAACAAAAAAATGTGTGCAGTAGAGTAGCGTAGCGCAAACAATGAGCAGAGTGTAATGTTCTCTTTTGCTAACAAATTCCTTTTATATCTGGTTTAATTGTTGACAATTGTATTTGCATGTTTGCAGTGGCGTCAATGGATATCGATACTTTGTTTTTGTTGCAGAGTAAAGCGAGAATTGAGTTTCACATAAGTATGTGCTGGCAAATGGCAACAGATCTTTTATTACCCGCTTGGACAATTCTGGGTATTCTTCGCGTAAATCACCCCAAAAAGCAATAAGAGAAACTTCTTTAAATTCTTGTCTTAGTTGACTGTCAGACGTTATATCGATCAGATTCTCAAAATCTACATCAGAAAAATTGGCTGGCTTGTCTTTTATGAATGGATTTCGAACCCAGTCATTATTGTTTTCATTCAATAATGGAAAATACTGATTAATAGATGTGAGTAAATGGCGAAGATGATCTACAATTTAATTGTGAATTTCATCTTCAAGTTCAATTTCTGATTCTTTAAAGGACCACTCTAGGCACCCAGACCACTTCAGCTTAATGAAGTGGTCTGGGTGCCAGGTCCTTCTAGGGTTAACCCATTTTTTTTATAAACATAGCAGTTTCAGAGAAACTGCTATGTTTATAATGGGTTAAGCCTTCCCCTAATCCTCTAGTGGCTGTCTCATTGACAGCCACTAGAGGCGCTTGCGTGCTTCTCACTGTGATTTTCACAGTGAGAGCACGCAAGCGTCCATAGGAAAGCATTGTAAATGCTTTCCTATGCGACGGACTGAATGCGCGCGGAACTCTTGCCGCACGTGCGCATTCAGCCCAGGAGGAGGAACAGAGGAGGAGAGAAGGAGGAGAGCTCTCCGCCCAGCGCTGGAAAAAGGTACGTTTAAACCCCTTTCCAGAGCCGGGCGGGAGGGGGTCCCTGAGGCTGGGGGCACCCTCAGGGCACTATAGTGCCAGGAAAACGAGTATGTTTTCCTGGCACTATAGTGGTCCTTTAAGAAAATCCATAAGTGTTGGCAAAGAGTTCAAATTATTTTGCTCAGCAGATGAGATCCAAAACTGACAGTGGGGGGGCGGGGCCGGGCCGCCGAGCAGCATGGCAGCAGAACACTGTGGCTCCGAGCTTAAGCCCTAAACAACGGCACAAAACTTACTCATAACTTGCCCCAGGGCCGGATTGCATGCTGCACTACAATGGGGTACTACCCAAGCACCCATATGATACCAGATTACAGCCCCCAAAAATTCACAGGGAACACTGAGACTGCTGAACCGGGCCTACACGCCTGCATAAGCCTGCATGAGGACAGCTGCAGACAGAGAATAGACGCCTGATTGCATGGCCGGAGGTACAAGCACACCAGCTATGCTATGCACATTGGGGGAGATCTACACGCCCTGGGGTGGAGGCAGCCGCCCGGGGTGCTCGCTGACCTCCTGCACAGGCAATGGCTGCCAAACCGCGGCCCGCCCGACATCTACACTCGGAATTAAGAGACGATTATTGCTTACGCTACAGGATCGATACATACCCTGGACTTAACGGCCTATAATAGCCCTGCTTTGCCATCAGAAGCTGTCCTGTGGATGCAACACCCGCGGGGGAGGTGGGGCCCCGGGGGCGATGCACGTGGGCGGGGGAGCCAGGCGGGATGCTGCTGCGGTGTCCTTGGGGCACACTGGCCGGATGCCGCGACCCTTGGACTGAGCCCTGCGGAGACCGAAGTGCCGTCACCTGTGGGTTTTGAGGAGGGCCTGCAGGCAGCTGTCCCCGACGCTGTGAGCCCTCGTGGAGTGGAACGCGGCAGCCCCCGGCGGACCGGTGGCTGTGGGGAGGCCGGCGCCTGCCCCGAGTGGCCGGAGAAGGATGAGACACAAGACGGCCTTCACCCTGACCATCTGGGACCCCAGTGGTGTAGTGGGGGTGCAGGGGATTACTGACTGGCACACGGACTTTAGGTGGTGGGGCCCGTGGACTGTTGGGTCCCCGAGTGCCCGCTGTGCTGCAGAACTCCCGGATGGAAGCTTGGCGCGGCCTGGGGGGACGCCGCGGAGGCCTGGCGCCCCTGGGATCAGCCGCAAATGCATCTGCAGTCGGCTCCCCCCGCATGGGGGGGTCGCGTCCGTGGCCCCTCAATGCTTGTGGACTGAGTTGATACACGCTGTCCATGACAGGCAGCAGTAAATGTTCTTTTGTCGTTTATTCACCATATAGAGCTGTACATTATGCAGCATCATGTTTTATATACGTTATGCTCCTGTCTTATGCTTGATGGTCTTTGAGGACTGAAAAGCCTCAGTAATAGGTTCATGCTATAATGTTGCCTGCTTAATATATTTTACTAGTCTTGCATACACTGTCCATGCAGCAGTGCTCATATGAGCTTAAGTTTAAGGCCACAAATTCTTAGATAATCTTATATTTGTAATTTAGATAAGTTTTGCTTACCTCCCCTGCGTGGGATGACCGCTTATCCAACATCGCAACTCTCACAACATGTGCCAAACTATTAGGCCAGAGGGCAAGAGTAATTCAAGCTCAACATACTGCTGTATACTTTATTTGACTATTTAGATAATGCCTCATGTTAGCAGATAATTCATAGAATCAATATCGTTAAATATACGTAACATATGCTTATATACTTAAACTTTTCCGCTCTACCAGGCACTGACTGTTTTGAAATTGATCCATATAATGCTTGATGGTTAATGCCTTTGACATATGTTAACTATGATTTGCTTACCTCCCCTGCGTGGGATGATCGCTTATTGAATGAACCAATAAAACAGATTTAAAACAAAACTGACAGTGAAAATATTTTATCTCTTGCATTAAAAATATTAGTGTTTTCCTTGGAGTGATAAACATACGCCATTTAATTTTGTGAATAATTCTGCGTGATATGCTACTTTGGATAACCACAGAGTGTTTGTTCATCGATCAGATAATCCAAATTTATGATCTTGGCAATATGCACCCAACTCCTAATGCAATTCAAACATTCTAACAAGGACTTTACCTTGTGATAGCCAACGGACTTCAGAATGCAGAGCAGAGTGGGGACATCCCATACCTTCACATATTATTTTAAATAGTCGTGACTGTAATGGTCGACTTTTTATAAAATTAATAATCTGGACCGATTCGTCTAGCACAATTTTAAGTGAAATTTAAATATTTTTTACTACCAGTGCATGTCTGTGAAGAACACAGTGAGAACTGGTGCTGTTTTTTGCTACGTTTCTTATTCGTGTCACAGTGCCTGCCACTTTCCCAGCCGTTGCTTTGGCACCATCACTGCACACATCTACACATTTGTCCCAATGTATACTGTGTGTGTTCATAAACCTTTGGATACAGTTAAAGATGTTCTCACCAGTGGGATGAGTTTTCTTCAATCTGTTTGTTAAAAATTATATCTAAAAAAAAACAACAAAACTGAAAGTCCTGCAACATCTGTGGACTTGTCTAATTGCAGCGAGTACCCATCACATTGATGCAGTCGAGAAATTAGTTCAGTATGGATGTCATCAGCAAGATCATGAATATGGCGCAAAACTGTGTTGTTGGAAAGTGGCACAGCTTCATTTTTTTACTCAACTTCTCACTTAAAATACTCGACACCATTTCTTTGCACATTATTATTATTATTACTGGCATTTATAAAGGTTTTATTGGTGATTCCCCAATTGTGTGTGCTTCTCCTGCAAGTGCTATGCGGTAACTCACTCTGTAAGAAGCCTCTGTGGCTTTTGCATTCGCATGTTGAAATTTCTTTCTCCAAAATTGTTTACTCTTCTGATACTCCTTTAGCTTTCGCTTAAAAAAGTCCACGTCTTTATCTTTGTACTCTGCGTGGTTTTACTCAAAATGACGGCGTGATTTAGCAGGTGCTAATGAACTGTTTGGCAATATTTTATTGCAAAGTACGCATTGTGCTTCAGCACAACCTTCATTTCTGGCACTTGTGAATCCAAATGACTAGTAGCTATCATCATATTTTCTTTTCTTTGTTTGAGAAGATTGGCCGGCATTGTGTGCTTTTCTTTTTGACTTGTCACTTGTCTCTGCTAACTGAGAAACAGTAGGTACTATTAGTATAGGCATGTTTTCTGGATTTTTAGCGGTCTCACGGATGAGCTAAGTGGCTGGCTGATGGCAGGGCAGGCTCTGGCGGGAAGGCGGGCTGACGGCAGAGCGGACTTAAGATCCTTCCGGAAACAGCAGGATGTGGCGGCCATCTTGTATGTGACAAAATGCCGCGGAACCCCCATTTTGTTCTTGCGGAACCCTAGGGTCCTGCGGAACACCAATTGGGAAACGCTGCCATAACAGTTGGTTGAAACGCTTCCAAGAAACGTGATGAGAAATTCCAAAAGGTCCAGGTCTGCACCAGGGGTATATCGCTTGTTCTGTTACCCACTGACTTGGGGCCCCCCATAAATAACAGGGACAGTCACAGTATTGTTGACTGTACCAGTATTTAATGAAGGTATTTTTATGGTGGGTTTATTAGCTTGTCCTATGGTAATAAACAAACATATTACTTCAAGGAGATTAAAAACACAAACATTGTTTAATATTTTTATTTGGTGATTTGTTCCCATTACTGTGACCTATGAGATACAGTAGCTGTGTCTCTACGTTGATTCAGTATACATGCAGGCGTCTACAGGAGTCTTGGTGCATCGGGATTTAGAGATTCCCAGCATTGAACTCCTGTTGGTTATAACTATACATTTGCTACAAATTCCTATAAAACATGGTGACATTACCATATGTGCATACCGAGTGAGAAGGTGCAGAGAGGACGGGGTAGGTACATTGTTGGTGGCCTTAGGCTGGCTGAGGGTGACATACCGAGTGAGAAGGTGCAGAGAGGACGGGGTAGGTACATTGTTGGTGGCCTTAGGCTGGCTGAGGGTGACATACCGAGTGAGAAGGTGCAGAGAGGACAGGGGTAGGTACATTGTTGGTGGCCTTAGGCTGGCTGAGGGTGACATACCGTGTGAGAAGGTGCAGAGAGGAGAGGGGTAGGTACATTGTTGGTGGCCTTAGGCTGGCTGAGGGTGACATACCGTGTGAGAAGGTGCTGCAGGACAGGGGTAGGTACATTGTTGGTGGCCTTAGGCTGGCTGAGGGTGACATACTGTGTGAGAAGGTGCTGCAGGACAGGGGTAGGTACATTGTTGGTGACCTTGGGCTGGCTGAGGGTGAATTTGCTATAATGCTGGGCATTCTGATTGTGATTTAGCCATTTGAGTTCCTGTTTGCTTTGTGGTTGTTTATTCATAATACACAGCGGCCATATTTTCCACTTTGGACAGGGGGTCCTGGAATTTGGGGAGGCCGTGCAGAATCATTAAATACAAGTGAAATTGTGGGCTGACAATTGGCTTGCAAATTTTACACCACTATATTGAACATAAAAAGAGAATCTCTAAGGCCTGTTTTGGCCTCAGTCATCAAGTCACGGTTTGGTGGATTAACCCGTAGAGTGGGAGCAGCTCCATTAAGATAAGCATGTGTTTCTTTAGTGTTCTGTTTGTATAAAAAGATAAGCGACGGATGGCGTTACAAGTCATAGACAAGCGATTCCTTCTTATAAATCTCCACAATGGCCGCCCCTGGAAAGAAAAGAGAGAATAAATGTTTGGATAGTCAATTCATGAGCATTATAATGAACATAGTGTGAGGAGATTTTCATTTTACTTCGTTATTTTAGTAACTCCCAGAATCCCATGCTCCCTCAGCCTTGATCCAAACCACTCCCAGAATCCCACGCTCCCTCAGCCTAGATCCAAACCACTCCCAGAATCCCACGCTCCCTCAGCCTAGATTCAAACCACTCCCAGAATCCCATGCTCCCTCAGCCTAGATCCAAACCACTCCCAGAATCCCACGCTCCCTCAGCCTAGATTCAAACCACTCCCAGAATCCTATGCTCCCTCAGCCTAGATCCAAACTACTCCCAGAATCCCACGCTCCCTCAGCCTAGATCCAAACCACTCCCAGAATCCCACGCTCCCTCAGCCTAGATCCAAACCACTCCCAGAATCCCACGCTCCCTCAGCCTAGATCCAAACCACTCCCAGAATCCCATGCTCCCTCAGCCTAGATCCAAACCACTCCCAGAATCCCATGCTCCCTCAGCCTAGATCCAAACCACTCCCAGAATCCCACTCTTGTATATTGGCCAACTCTAGTGATCTAGGGGCGGATGCCCTGCGGCTTTGCCTTTTATCTGCTTTTTTCAACCTGGAACTTGATCATAAGTAAACACAGTCCCTGCTTCGTCTTATGATATGTTTTGAATTTAGTGAGATTCTAACACATTCAGCGTGAGTATGTCATACGGAACATTCGGAAATAGTGAAAAGTCATATCGCCGTGACAGAGGCTGCTGAAACATTCTAAAATAAGGCATAAATCTTCCTATGATATGAAGGTGGAATTCTCAGTGAAATCCAGGGCTTTTATTACAGAAGGTACACGTGGGACATGGCTCCAGGTTTTCTAAAATATTCTTATGGAGATTTTACTTTTTCTGGTGATTTGTTAGAGCGTTTATTCCGACAGTTTAATTATAACCTAGAATATTCCGAGCGCAAACAGAACATCCCAGAGAAACTACATCCCGGTTTTACAATATGTTTCTACAAGTCACGTATTGCGTATTTACACAATTATTTAATTTTCATTTTTTTATTTTGCTGCTAAAAGCAAGTAGATTGAAATACACTCAACGACCTTTAACAGAATAAGTTGGATAAGTGACAGAATTTCTACATCTGGCCGGACTCTGAACGGTTTTGAAGCAAATTTTCACATCTGAGACTCATTTCTTTCATGCTTTCAGTAAATTCAAACACAAATTAGAATGTTTCAGTTTGAATGAATATTTGCAACTTACTATGTGTCCTTATAGGTGCGTTCGCTACGTGGGAATTAAAAAGAATTGAAAAAAGAGTTATAAATCACGATGAAAACTGCTGAATTTAAAACATTATCCAACTCAGCTATTTCACAACCTGTGGCCGACATATTCCAATCTACTTGTCAATTCTCCATCAGTTGTTGGTTACTGAATTATTTGATGTAGTAATTTAATTTGTCCACTAGATGTCACTATTGGTTAATGCATAGAGTGGGATAGTCACTAGTAAGGTCTGTGCAGTCCTAGTGGCAGCGCAGAGGGGGGGGAGGGGATATTGGTAAAGTAGGCATTGATTTGTCTTGTGTTATTTTGGGAAATACATTTCTAAATAAGAACTGCTGGGTTGTTTCACGTGACAGTCTGACGTGTTTCATTGTGCTGTTTAATTACCAGTCTTTAGTACAGTTTATGATTTATCATTTAATTGCTTATAATTTTGGACTCAACGAAACTAAAGGCAGTTTGTTCCCAAATATTTCCAGCTATGTCTCCGCGTTCTTGGGACCCCCCACGTGTGCTCATTTTATCCCGTTTTATGGAAATATTCCCATTGTACGGCGCTATGGAATATGATGGCGCTATATAAATAATAAAATAATAATTGTTATCTCCCATAAATGCAGGTAGTATGGCTCCCCCTACAGGATGTGTGTGTCTCTGTTACTGAATCCTGACAATGAAAATAATGTATCACTACCACAGCCAGCACTTCTGAAATGTGTACCAAGCAAATACATTGCTACCGGGTCATTCTCTGAGCAGGAAGTCTGGACAAAGACCAGGGAACTGATATTTTCTAAACTCTCCGAGGGATTTGTACGTTAATCACTGGTTCATGTTAAGAGTTGGCTTTTGTTCCCATTATTTTGTTTACTCCCATTTTTCCTCAACCGAGATTCCTGTGTGATTGAGCTGTGGTGCTGCTCTCCATTGATCGACTTCTCAATGAGGAACAGCCAGTGTTCACACAGCCAGGGCAAGTCACGTGCACACAGCCAGAGCAAGTCAAAGCCGGCATATTCGAGCCTAGCACGCACACAGCCAGAGCAAGTCACGTGCACACAGCCAGAGCAAGTCACGCACACACAGCCAGGGCAAGTCAAGGCCGGCATATTCGAGCCTAGCACGCACACAGCCAGAGCAAGTCGCGTGCACACAGCCAGAGCAAGTCAAGGCCGGCATATTCGAGCCTATCACGCGCACACAGCCAGAGCAAGTCGCGCGCACACAGCCAGAGCAAGTCAAGGCCGGCATATTCGAGCCTAGCACGCGCACACAGCCAGAGCAAGTCACGCACACACAGTCAGAGCAAGTCAAGGCCGGCATATTCGAGTCTAGCACACACACAGCCAGGGCAAGTCAAGGCCGGCATATTCGAGCCTAGCACGCACACAGCCAGAGCAAGTCACACGCACACAGCCAGAGCAAGTCACACGCACACAGCCAGAGCAAGTCAAGGCCAGCATATTCGAGCCTAGCACGCGCACACAGCCAGAGCAAGTCACGCACACACAGCCAGAGCAAGTCAAGGCCGGCATATTCGAGCCTAGCACGCACACAGCCAGAGCAGTCACGCGCACACAGCCAGGGCAAGTCAAGGCCGGCTTATTCGAGCCTAGCATGCACACAGCGAGAGCAAGTCACGCACACACAGCCAGGGCAAGTCAAGGCCGGCATATTCGAGCCTAGCACGCACACAGCCAGAGCAAGTCACGCACACACAGCCAGGGCAAGTCAAGGCCGGCATATTCGAGCCTAGCACGCACACAGCCAGAGCAAGTCACGCACACACAGCCAGGGCAAGTCAAGGCCGGCATATTCGAGCTTAGCACGCGCACACAGCCAGAGCAAGTCAAGGCCGGCATATTCGAGCCTAGCACGCACACACAGCCAAGGCAGGTAAAGGCCAGCGTACACACATCCAACCAGGGCAGGTAAAGGCCAGCGTACACACATCCAACCAGGGCAGGTAAAGGCCAGCGTACACACATACAGCCAGGGCATTTAAAGGCCAGCGTACACACATCCAGCCAGGGCAAGTAAAGGCCAGCGTACACACATCCAGCCAGGGCAGGTAAAGGCCAGCGTACACACATACAGCCAGGGCATTTAAAGGCCAGCGTACACACATCCAGCCAAGGCAAGTAAAGGCCAGCGTACACACATCCAGCCAGGGCAGGTAAAGGCCAGCGTACACACATCCAGCCAGGGCATTTAAAGGCCAGCGTACACACATCCAGCCAGGGCAGGTAAAGGCCAGCGTACACACATCCAGCCAGGGCAGGTAAAGGCCAGCGTACACACATCCAACCAGGGCAGGTAAAGGCCGGTGTATTCGAGCCAAGCCTGCCTGCCACGTTTTGCCCTGTGGAGCTCAGAGATGCATAATAAAAGCCCCCTGGCTGGCTGATTACTAGGTGGGGAGGTACACACAATGTCTCATTAAATTGGCACTTTTATAAACTGAAAAATAATTAAATAAAAATTAACAAACCCATAAAGCATTTTAGAAAAACTTAGGCTACACTTAAATTCTGTGTCAGCAAACTGACCATTCGGACCCTTCTCATGGAGAAGTCTTTGTGGTCGAGCAACGCTCCTCATGCTCAGCTTGTCAATCACAGATTTCACAATGAGCTGTCCTCTGTCACTCCTCTCAGCAGCAATAACGGAATAACACTGAACTAAGTGCGTTTGGTGTGAGCATGGGGTCAGTGAGTGTAGTATCAGCCCCAAAGTTTATTCTCACTGAACTTTTTTGAAATAAAGTTAAAAGATTAAATAAGACTGTTCCTTGCAGGAATGTTTCACTGATTGTATTTTGCCCATTCATTCCCTGGGAGCACATGTGGCATATGGATCGCGGAGTGAGAATCCTAGGGTTACAGACACTGTAACGGGTAACCTTTGCACTGCACATGCTGGTGAAATACATTTCCCATAATACTCAGCAAGGCTTTGATTTTGGACCAATGGAAATCTTCAATGTAAAGGCTTGGAAACCATTATGGAAAATATCTGCAGTCCCATCTTCGTTATGGAATGGTCATCTGATTGCTGAGGCTTTGAATGGTAACAATCATTGTGTAAAGGGGACATTACTCATGCCATTGCAATCCTAGTGTTTGACTTGAGTCGAGTATAATACTACAAGGAGGTTGAATGGCTGGCTTATTCCTCACACAGGGTTGGCGTGCCACATATCTGGAATCAGGAAGAGGACATCTCGGAGTTCTATCATTACCTGTGGATCACTGAAGTCTCTCTGGGATCTCCTTGTCAATGTCCTCAGGAGGTTCAGAGTTGTGTCCCACATGTCTGTTTTTCCCATGATGTCGCTCCTTATGGAGCCTCCTGCCTTTCTTCCGCTCTGATCGCCTGTTCTCCTGCAGATAAAAAGGATCTCAAGTCATCAGAAAGCCCAAACCAATCGATCTCTACATACGGAGAACAAGGATGCCTCAATCAATAACTGGTAGGTAATGCAGGGAAAGGACAGAGCCGAGATGTATGTGGGTGTCTGGGTTATTTACTAAAATCAGAATTGTTGCGAATTCAACATGAATTTCAAATTGTAGACCAAAATTGCTGAACTGGAGGCATAGCGGGCTTGCAGAATTTTTCCAATTTAACTATTTTTGCCTTAAGTTTGAAATTCACTTTGAATTCATTTTCAATTCACAGCAGTTCTCAAGTTAGTAAATAACTTGAACTTTGAAATTATACTCAAATTAAAAAGGCCAATTCATATACAATGTAAAGACAATCTCATGATTATATGGAAATTAAACTTAAAGTGACTTAAAAGCACCAAAACAACTTTAGATCAAACCCCTGCAGTCTCACTGCTTAATTCTCTGTCATTTAGGAGTTAAATCACTTTGTTTATAGAAACATAGAATGTGACGGCAGATAAGAACCATTCGGTCCATCTAGTCTGCCCAATTTTCTAAATACTTTCATTAGTCCTTAGCCTTATCTTATAGTTAGGATAGCCTTATGCCTATCCCACGCATGCTTAAACTCCTTTACTGTGTTAACCTCTACCACTTCAGCTGGAAGGCTATTCCATGCATCCACTACCCTCTCAGTAAGTAATACTTCCTGATATTATTTTTAAACCTTTGTCCCTCTAATTTAAGACTATGTCCTCTTGTGTTTTAGTTTTTTTAAATATAGTCTCCTCCTTTACTGTGTTGATTCCCTTTATATATTTAAATGTTTCTATCATATCCCCCCTGTCTCGTCTTTCCTCCAAGCTATACATGATAAGATCCTTTAACCTTTCCTGGTAAGTTTTATCCCGCAATCCATGAACCAGTTTAGTAGCCCTTCTCTGAACCCTCTCTAAGGTATCAATATCCTTCTGAAGATCTGATTCCTTGTTGCGTACATTACGCCAAGTAGATTATACACCAGGTATTACCTTTAATGGCGACCTCACTGTAAAGCACTCCTTGCAATGACGGTGCTATAGCATTTCCTGCTGCTCTATTACATTGTCTGCCTACCTTTAAGTCATCAGAAATAATCACCCCTAAATCCCTTTCCTCATAGGTTGAGGTTAGGACTCTATCAAATATTCTGTACTCTGCCCTTGGTTTTTACGTCCAAGATGCATTATCCTGCACTTATCCACATTAAATGTCAGTTGCCACAATTCTGACCATTTTTCTAGTTTACCTAAATCATTTGTCATTTGGCTTATCCCTCCTGGAACATCAACCCTGTTACATATCTTAGTATCATCAGCAAAAAGACATACTAACATATCACTAATAAAAATATTAAAGAGAATGGGTCCAAGTACCCCTCTGGTGACAAGTCCAAGCTTCGAATATATTCCATTAACTACAACCCTCTGTTGCCTGTCACTCAGCCACTGCCATTACCCATTCAACAATATTTGAATCCAAACTTAAAGATTGCAGTTTATTGATAAGCCTTCTATGTGCAACAGTGTCAAAAGCCTTACTGAAATCTAGGTAAGCAATGTCTACTGCACCAGCCTGTTTATACAGCCCTAGTCACACCTACTTGCATGTGACTTACACAGGTTTCCTAAACACTTCCTGTAAAGAGAGAGCTAATGTTTATACTTCCTTTATTGCAAATTCTGTTTATTTTCGAATTTCTTTTCTGGAGACCACTGGCGGATCCAGGGTGGGGTCAACGGGGCAATTGCCCCGCCCCGAGGCTCTTCCCAATCCATCCGCTACCCTCTTCACCACACATTCACACACTGCCCCCCCACACACATACAGGGGGGGCAATTGATATCCGTGCGCCAGCCCTGCAATGTGTCCTCACGGACCAGAGGGGAGATCAGAGAGAGGACCCGGGAGCTCAGCCTGCAACTCCTCCGGGTCCTTCTCTCGCAAGCATGGAGCGTTGCCACGGCTACACATACACACTGCCACACACACACACACACACTGCTCCACACACACACTCAGCCCCACACAGACCCTACAAATACACACTGCCCCCCCATACACACTGCCCCACACACACATACACTGCCCCCCCACACACACACTGCCCCCACACACATGCCCCCCATACACATATTTCCCCACATACACACACACACATACACTACCCCCATACACATTGCCTCACACACACACAGACACACACTGCCCCCCTCACACACACACTGTAACCCTGGCATACACTGCCGCCCTCAGACACACTGCAACCTTCACACACATTGTCCCCCTCTCATACACACACACACACTGCACCCCTGACATACATTGTCACACACACACATACTGCTCACACACACACACACTACACCCCCCACACACACACACTGAACCTTTCATACACATTGCACCCCTCACACATTCCACTGCTCCTATGCCCTACTACAGCCCCATATCCCAGTAGACACCCAGGTAAGTTGTCAAACTGTTCTTAAAAGGTTTTACTACTTACTCTTGGAGGGGGTCCCGGCACTACTGGCACCATAACCACTACACTGAGCTGTATTGGTCATTGTGCCTGGATTATTTCTTTAAATAATCTACAAGTTCCCCTCCCGAGATCAGGCTCTGGATCTGACCCTGCTGGAGACACTACATGGATATATATATATATATATATTTTTTTTTTTGTTAATACGTTTTGTTTCCAAAATTTGGACATTACTTACATGACATAACATTAAAATATAAGTGTTTGGTTAAGATACCTGCAGATACAACAACTTACAAATATACAGACATAAATACAAAAAGGCATCCCTATAACCACATTTCAACCGTCTTAGAGCTCCAGTTCTGTGTTCTCAGTTTGGAAAAAGGACAAATGAGTCATTTATTACACGTGAGTTTACAGAGCAAGAGGTTCTATTTCAACTGTCAAAAGTAAAGACAAATAAGTCAATGGGACCTGATGGAATACACCCAAAGTTATTAAAAGAGCTTAGTGGTGTACTAACAAAACCATTAAAGGATCACTATAGGGTCAGGAACACAAACATGTATTCCTGACCCCATAGTGTTAAAACCACCATTTAGCCCGCCCCCCGGGCCCCTCATGCCTCCATAAATATAGCAAAATCTTACTGTATTCAAGCCTGAAGCTGCTGGCTCTGCCCCTGTCTGCCTCAGAATAGCAAGCTGTCTGCTGACATAAGCAGAAGTGTTGTTCTGAGCCAATCACAATGCTTCCCCATAGGAGTACCGATATATATAGGGTATAGTACAGAAACATATACCAATGGGGACGCCACAATCACCAATCGTGAGTTATCATATATTTCTCATGATGACCATATAAGAGATAAAAAATGAAAGTGTAAACTTGAAAAATTCGTTGAGACGAAACGCGTTGAGCGGAGAAGCTTGCCAACACCCCCTGAAGACTTGATTTCTACCTGTCATCCTTGCCTGGTGCCTCTTTATATACAGACCTATAAAGAAAAGATCCATCCTTAGAAGGCATTGACATTGGACCTGTTTTTAAAGGGGACTTAACCCAGAAGGGGTTGACAAGCGTGTTTGCACAGTTAGATATTTGTCTCTTTGTGCCATCTTCCTTGTGAGTGTATTTCTCTGTTTTTTATTGTTTTATCATGTGTCATTAAATGCTTCACCATATACACTTTCTTTTTTTATCTCTTATATGGTCATCATGAGAAATATATGGTAACTATACTCACGATTGGTGATTGTGGCGCCCCTATTGGTATATGTTTCTGTACTATACCCTATATATATATCGGTATTACATTTGGGAATTGGGAGTGATCCCTGATTTGGAGTGGCTAGCCTGCACTGTTTATTGCACTTTACCCCATACACCGTTTTATATACATTCCCCATAGGATTGGCTGAGACTGTCAAGGAGGCAGATCAGGGGCAGAGCCAGCACAAGTCAAACACAGCCCTGGCCAATCAGCATCTCCTCATAGAGATACATTGAATCAATGAATCTCTATGAGGAAAGTTCAGTGTCTGCATGCAGAGGGAGGAGATACTGAATGTTTGGATGCATTTTAGGCAGCCATGACCCAGGAAGGATCTCTAACAGCCATCTGAGGAGTGGCCAGTGGGGGTATCCCTAGGCCACTCCTCAGATGGCTGTTAACACTGTCTGAAAAGACAGTGTTTACAGCAAGAAGCCCGAAGGTAATGATTCTACTCACCAGAACAAATTCAATAAGCTGTAGTTGTTCTGGTGACTTTAATGTCCCTTTAACAGATCTATTTAATCAATCATTGTTAACAGGAGTAGTCCCAGAAGATTGGAAGTTAGCGAATGTTGTGCCCATTCACAAGAAAGGTAATAGGGAGGTGTCGGGCAACTATAGGCCAGTAAGCCTTACTTCAGTAGTGGGGAAAGTGATGGAAACCATGTTAAAGGATAGGATTGTTGAACATCTAAAAACACATGGATTTCAAGATCAGAGACAGCATGGGTTTACTTCAGGGAGATCATGCCAAACTAATCTTATTGATTTTTTTGATTGGGTAACTAAAATTATAGATCAGGGTGGTGCAGTAGACATTGCTTACCTAGATTTCAGTAAGGCTTTTGACACTGTTGCACATAGAAGGCTTATCAATAAACTGCAATCTTTAACTTTGGATTCCAATATTGTTGAATGGGTAAGGCAGTGGCTGAGTGACAGACAACAGAGGGTTGTAGTTAATGGAATATATTCGAAGCATGGGCTTGTCACCAGTGGGGTACCTCAGGGATCTGTACTTGGGTACCTCAGGGATCTGTACTTGGACCCATTCTCTTTAATATTTTTATTAGTGATATTGCAGAATGCCTTGATGCTAAGGTATGTCTTTTTACTGATGATACTAAGATATATAACAGGGTTGATGTTCCAGGAGGGATAAGCCAAATGGCAAATGATTTAGGTAAACTAGAAAAATGGTCAGAGTTGTGCCAGCGGACATTTAATGTGGATAAGTGCAAGATAATGCATCTTGGACGTTAAAACCCAAGGGCAGAGTACAGAATATTTGATAGAGTCCTAACCTCAACATCTGAGGGGTGATTATTTCTGATGACTTAAAGGTAGGCAGACAATGTAATAGAGCAGCAGGAAATGCTAGCAGAATGCTTGGTTGTATAGGGAGAGGTATTAGCAGTAGAAAGAGGGAAGTGCTCATGCCATTGTACAGAACACTTGTGAGACCTCACTTGGAGTATTGTACACAGTACTGGAGACCGTATCTTCAGAAGGATATTGATACTTTAGAGAGAGTTCAGAGAAGGGCTACTAAACTGGTTCATGGATTGCAGGATAAAACTTACCAGGAAAGGATAAAGGATCTTAACATGTATAGCTTGGAGGAAAGACGAGACAGGGGGCTATGATAGAAACATTTAAATACATAAAGGGAATCAACACAGTAAAGGAGGAGACTATTTTTAAAGATGTTTCTTGCACATCCCAACTCCATGTGACCTACACAGCCTTCCTAAACACTTCCTGTAAAGAGAGATCTAATGTTTATACTTCCTTTATTGCACATTCTGTTTAATTTCAAATTTCTTATCTGGATACACTACCTGGATATTATATACACTACCTGGGCATTGGAAACACTACCTTGGCATTGGATACACTACCTGGGTATTTTATACACTACTTGAGCATTGGATACACTACCTGGACATTGGATACATAAATTGGTAATTTTATACATTACCTGGGCACTGCTGCCATTTACTGGAATAGACATTATCCTTCCTGAATCAGGACGTAGTGACATAGGGCTGTATTTTCCTGCTCTGAAACGGTCAGGCTAGTGGACGGAGACAAGCAGGTGTTACAGATACATTGTAACAAGAATTCCCACAAACAGCCACGCTGTATCTCTAACAGACCACGCAGCTTCACTAACAGACCACACAGTGTCAGTAACAGACCACGCAGTGTCACTAAGAGGCCACGCAGTATCACTAACAGACAACAGTGTCAGTAACAGACCACACAGTGTCACTAAGAGACCACACAGTGTCACTAACAGACCACGCAGTGTCACTAAGAGGCCACGCAGTGTCACTAACAGACCACACAGTGTCAGTAACAGACCACACAGTGTCAGTAACAGACCACGCAGTGTCACTAAGAGGCCACGCAGTATCACTAACAGACAACAGTGTCAGTAACAGACCTCACAGTGTCACTAACAGACCACGCATTGTCACTAAGAGGCCACGCAGTGTCACTAACAGACCACACAGTGTCAGTAACAGGCCACGCACTGTCACTATCAGGCCACACAGTGTCACTAACAGACCACACAGTGTCACTAACAGACCACGCAGTGTCACTAACAGACCATGCAGCTTCACTAACAGACCACACAGCTTCACTAACAGACAACAGTGTCACTAACAGACCACACAGTGTCACTAACAGACCACGCATTGTCACTAAGAGGCCACGCAGTGTCACTAACAGACCACACAGTGTCAGTAACAGGCCACGCACTGTCACTATCAGGCCACACAGTGTCACTAACAGACCACACAGTGTCACTAACAGACCACGCAGTGTCACTAACAGACCATGCAGCTTCACTAACAGACCACACAGCTTCACTAACAGACAGTGTCACTAACAGACCACACAGTGTCACTAACAGACCACGCAGTGTCACTAACAGACCACACACTAACAGACCACACAGTGTCACTAACAGACCACACAGTTCACTAACAGACCACGCAGTGTCACTAACAGACCATGCAGCTTCACTAACAGACCACACACACACAGACCAGCAGTGTCACTAACAGACCACACAGTGTCACTAACAGACCATGCAGCTTCACTAACAGACCACGCAGTGTCACTAACAGACCATGCAGCTTCACTAAGAGACCACGCAGTGTCACTAAGAGGCCACGCAGTGTCACTAACAGACCACACAGTGTCAGTAACAGACCACACAGTGTCAGTAACAGGCCACGCACTGTCACTATCAGGCCACACAGTGTCACTAAAAGACCACACAGTGTCACTAACAGACCACACAGTGTCACTAACAGACCATGCAGCTTCACTAACAGACCACACAGTGTCAGTAACAGACCACTCAGTGTCACTAAAAGGCCATGCAGTGTCACTAACAGACTACGCAGTGTCACTAAGAGGCCATGCAGTGTCACTAACAGGCCATGCTTTGTAAATAACAGACCACACAGTCTCATCTAGCAGGCCAAGCAGCATCACTAACAGACCACTCAGTGTCACCAATAGACCACACAGTGCCACTAACAGTCCATGCAGTCTCGGGCCACATAGTCTAAGAGGCCATTAAAGGGACAGTTAGGACCCTTTACCTCTGCCATGTGATGTACCTTGCCTCTTCTTCTGTCTTTATGATGTCTTCCCCTCCTCGATGGCTGAGATACCTGTAAAAATATATTAATCTGATATTATCATACAGAGAAGAAGAGGTGGATTTATCCTTGACACAGAATGGACACCGTTTTTATTCTTTCACAACACGCAGGAGCGCTCTCCGACTAAAAACTAAACTAAAAGTAAAGAAAATACATCTGGAAATCCCGGGTGTTGCAGTCGCTGCGGCCAATATTGTCGACACACTTTGCTTTGTACGTCTTTCTCTTTGTGGGTTCAGGCAAACAGTGTCTGGTTAAGAGCTATGCAGTACGGATCATGTGAAATGTAAAAAGGTTTCATTTAATAATTATTATATTTATAAGGTTTGTGAGAAGAACAGAATGGGAGAAGCTCTGCGTCCATCTGACATTCTTTACGAGCAATGAGGTCAGCTCGAGGAATTGAAAATGATAAGTTATAAAGCTGTCAATGTTCCATGAGAGGGACATGGATTCGGGGTTTCTGCCACCAGGTGGTTAAAAGATTGTCCCAGAATTATTTGGTGTTTTGTTCTTTTCCTGTTAATAATATTTAGAGTATTTCCTGCTATCCCGATGGTCCTGATTCCATTTATATGTCACGATGTGCTTTCTAGACTTTGATTGTTTGGGTACAGGTTAGACATTCGGCACAATATATTACTATATTGATATTTTATATACTCCATTTATATTAAGTAGTTTTGTTTTACTTTGGTTTGTATTCATTTAACTTAAAGAGTTTCACTGGAGGGACTGATAGCCTTAAGGGTTAGCTAACAGTGTTTCATGTTGGTGGGATCGTGGTGGATAGTGGTGTTGGGTGTTTCTGTATGGTATAGGGTGAAACTTGATAAATGTACGGATTTACACTTTTATTCACTCCTCACCTCTTCGCCTACCTCTCACCTTTTCATCCACCCCTCATCTACACGTCCACCCACCCCTTCACCTACCTCTCACCTTTTCATCCACCCCTCATCTACACGTCTCACATCCACCCTCTTCACCTACCTCTCACCTTTTCATCCACCCCTCATCTACACGTCCACCCACCCCTTCACCTACCTCTCACCTTTTTCATCCACCCCTCATCTACACGTCCACCCACCCCTTCACCTACCTCTCACCTTTTCATCCACCCCTCATCTACACGTCCACCCACCCCTTCACCTACCTCTCACCTTTTTCATCCACCCCTCATCTACACGTCCACCCACCCCTTCACCTACCTCTCACCTTTTCATCCACCCCTCATCTACACGTCCACCCACCCCTTCACCTACCTCTCACCTTTTTCATCCACCCCTCATCTACACGTCCACCCACCCCTTCACCTACCTCTCACCTTTTCATCCACCCCTCATCTACACGTCCACCCACCCATTCACCTACCTCTTACCTTTTCATCCACCCCTCATCTACACGAACACCCACCCCTTCACGTACTCTTTCATCAGCTCATCACCTAAAATTTCACCCACCTCATTTCTCCTACCTAACCTTCCATCCACTCCTCACCTACCATTTCATCGTTTTTTGCTGACAGGGCTGTGTCGCAGTCATCACACTTTCTGCTCTGTTTTCCAGTAAATACGTGTTCCCTCTTTGTTCTTGCTTTTTGAAGTACAAATTTTTCATCCTGAAGTGAAAATAATTCATATAAAGTATTATTTAACAAGTAGTCCTGATGTAAACGGTATAATAGCTCTTATTTAATAGTAAATGTGACACTTGGTCTGAGACTTTACGATGACCCTATATTATCCTGAACTAGAAAGGGGGTTATTACAAGATTTATAAGATTTATATTTAATTTCAAATGTTCTGTTACCTATGTAATAGTGTCAGCGCCTTCTCGGAGTCAGTAAAATAGCTGCAATTATGAAGGTGTTTATAACCAGTACCAAGGGATGTCTGTTAGAGTTTGGTGAAATGCGTTTACAAATCCAGGGTTACCCAATCCTTGCCTTCAACTACAGACCCTCTGTCATCACCTGACGTGTTTTCCACTGTATTAAAAAACTGGTTTATGTCATATTAAACTGGGGGACAATGACCTCTAGGCACCATAACTACTCAAGGAATTACTTCAATACTTTAATTATTTATTGTTTTCCTTTACAAGCTGTCCCCCTGCTATTAAGAGGTGCGCTCTCCTGCCTGTTATTCTTACTATTAGTAAGAGGGTGACAGAAACTGCCCAGGGGAATTGGGGCACTAGGAAATGCTCCACTGGAAATTTGATAGAAACCCTTGCAGTGACATTCAGACATATTGGCAGTGGAATAGTGAGTAATATTCACTAATCCCACAAGCGCTGAAATGATAATGTCTCTCTGCTAACAGAGCATAATGCTCCCGAGAGCCTGAAGTTAAACTCGGCCTGAATATTCGTGGTCTACAGCATATTTCTATGATGCCTTGAAGGTCAATACTTGAATTAGGGTCAGTGTATGCATGCATGCTGGTTTTATACTGAAAGTTCATTTCAGAAATATTAGACCAAGGACTTTCTAACCCCAGTTAATCTTACTGCACACATTCTGCATTCCAGACATGGAATTTTATATTATTATTATTATTATCATTATTATTGTTATTTAAAAGCATTTAGGGATAGTAATTATAATTAGACACCTTTCATGCATCACTGTCATCACTTAACAGCTCTTCACCCCTCACCTACTATTTCATCCACCTTCACTAAACATTACCCACCCCACTTACCCTTTATCCATTGCACACCTACCTTTTAACCTATTCTGCACCTACCCTTTACCCACCCCCACATACCTTTTATCCATGCCACACCTACCTTTTACCCATCCTATACCTAACCTTTACCCACCTCACTTACCCTTTATCCACCCCCACACCCACCCCTTACCCATCCTATACCTAACCTTTACCCACCCCACACCTACCCTTTAGCCTATCCTTTACCTACCCTTTACCCATCATGCACTTACCCTTTAACCTACCCTACACATACCCCTTACCCAACCCATACCTACCCTTTAGCCCATGTCAACCTACTGTTTAATACAACTTTCAGTTACCCTTTGGTCTACCTTTGATTTAGCCATTAATCCACCACTCAACTACCCCTTCCTCTATCTTCACGTATTCTTTTACCTACCTCTCACAGTGACACCTACCCTTTCACCAAAATGTACCTTTTCACCCACAACTGTCCTACTCTTTAACCCGCCCTCACCTACCATTTTATCAACCCCTTGTTTACCCATTTATCCATACTGAACCTTTTAAAACAATCCCACCCATCCTTTCATCCACCCCCACCTGCCCCTTTGTCAACCCCTCATTTCCCTTTTACCCACTCCTTACCTACCCCTTTATTAACCCCTCGTTCCCCTTTTACCCACTCCTAACCTACCCCTTTATCAACCCCTCATTTCCCTTTTACCCACTCCTTATCTACCCCTTTATTAACCCCTCATTTCCCTTTTACCCACCCCCACCTACCCCTTTATCAACCCCTCGTTCCCCTTTTACCCACTCCTTACCTACCTTTTTCTCTTGACGCACCAGAGCTGAGAAGCATCCAGTGCACTTCTCGCGCCTTTTTTTAGAACCCTTGTCTTGTCTCTTTATCCTTGCTTTTTGCTGTAGAGTTGGTGATGCCTAAAAGGAATATAATTTATACAAATGTGCAATGTTTGCTCTATGTATATATTATGGCAATGTCCGGGGAATGTCCGGGGAAGTGGGTGCATTGGAGGGTTCAGTGGTGGATTACTTGGTGGGACTCCAGGAAGCATTGTTTTGTGTGTTATGTTTCCCACATTTCTAAATGAAAGAGACCCTTCTTCTTCTGACTCAATCCTCCAGAGACCTTAAATTTAGGCCGAAGTCCTCTGCAGGAAGGGGATTATTATACTGAAATCAGCCAGCCAGAGTGGAAGCAACGCTAATACGGACCCAGAAATACTTCGTAGTAACCACCGACACTCTATTTGCTTGTCAATACTCAAAGCCAGCTTGTCTGCGTATAGACAGAATGAACCCCAGCTTTTGTCCATTTCAGTTAAAACTCAATGCCATTTCATATTAATGAAGTTGTTTTGGTGCATAGACCCTTCAACTTCATTAATATGAATCTTGCCATTTAAGAGAAACATCCAAGTTTATATTTGCAAGCTATGGGAGGGTTGCTGCACAGGTATATCTAGGCTGGAATCTTAAATGTGACCATGATAAAGTGCATGTTGACACGGAACGCGTAGGTTGCTGTGGCTGCATTATATTTTCAGCCATTTTTCCACTGTAAGTCACACTGTCGATTTCCTTGGGCAATAAAGAAAGTGACTTGTCAGAATAAGCAGTGGTTTTAATTTCTTCAATTGATTTTTTTTCTCAACTCGCTTACTGTGATATATGAGCTGACTGCTGATTGAGCGATCTGGAGAGGGGACACGGTTTGCAATGTGAAGGTACACAGTAACAGTGAATGTAAAGTTGTTATCCAAGCTATATGGATTGTATAATACGTATTGACTGTTTGGGAATATATTGTTTTGTATGAATGTTTACATTTGGCCCAAAACTCTCCTCTAGTAGTCAGACTGCCTATTACCAGAGTCGCTTCCTTAATGAAGGCTTTCAGTTATAGTCTTATGGTTTGGTGATGATACCGCCCAACCCTGCGAATGCTTCTCATTGGAGCGCTGGATTCCAAAAGATTCATAAAGAAGCATCCGATTGGCTGATCATGGCGGGGATGTGCTAAGAAGAGGAAAAGTCTGGCACAGCATTAAAAAACGTAATATTTTTTATCTTAAAAAGTGCCGGGCATAGTCAAAAAGTTAAGGAACACTTTAAGATTAATAATAAAGTGATTTATTTGTTATGTTACTGTTCCTTTAAAGGGAAACTCTCAATTCCCAGAATTTTGAATATTATGTTTACTTATTCGCTAGATTTAACAAATGTGTGTTTGTAAAGTCTGAAAACCATGATTAAATGTTGGGCTCGTCACGGCTGTATTAATCTCTACCCTGGGATGGAATGCCTCCATCTTGGAACGCTGTTTGTCCATCTGCCAGTCAGCATAGAGAGAGGAGGAGAAATTAACACAATTAACTCCTCTAACACACTGTGTGCCCTGGCTGAGCGTCACATGAAACCGCTGTAGGGGATAACGATGATGTATTTATTTATTGGTGTTAGGCGTTTGTTTGCTGAGACACTGAGAGCCATGTTTTGGGCTATAAGAAGATGACTGCGTCAATTTTTACATCAAGGAGGGTCAGCTGTGGGTTGCAAGCAGATATGTACTCAGTGAGCATGTACTCAGTGAGCGTGTACTCAGTGACTATGTTAGACTTTAGGGAGATTTAGGCAATACTTAGACTTGGGGTAATGCTTTATCTCCCCACGTAATGCAGGGCATTACGCAATACACAATATCCTCTTTGCTTACCAGATCTTTAACATTTTGGTCGTTATTTCACAAGTGAAAAGTCGAGTACGATGTGACTCATTCCATTCAGGAAAGCCAAGCCAGGAAAGTACGGGGTTAATTAGTGTCTAATTAGACATGTTTGTTTATGTGAAATTGTGAATTAGATGTATGTGTGTGCCTAGTTATGGATGTGTGTAGGTGTGTATGTGAAAATGGTTTATTAGATGTATATGAGTGTCTAGTTATGGATGTGTGTATATGTGAATGGCTCATTATATGTATGTCAGTGTCTAGTTATGATGTGTGTGTGTAAATGGCTCATTATATGTATGTCAGTGTCTAGTTATGTTGTGTGTGTGTGTGTGTGTAAATGGCTCATTATATGTATGTGAGTGTCTAATTATGGTGTGTGTGTGTGTGTGAATAGCTCATTATAGGTATGTGAGTGTCTAGTTAATGTGTGTGTGTAAATGGCTCATTATATGTATGTGAGTGTCTAATTATGGTGTGTGTGTGTGTAAATAGCTCATTATATGTAGGTGAGTGTCTAATTATGATGTGTGTGTGTGTGTGTGTGTGTGTGAATAGCTCATTATAGGTATGTGAGTGTCTAGTTAAGGTGTGTGTGTGTGTGTGTGTGTAAAGCTCATTATATGTATGTAAGTGTCTAATTATTGTGTGTGTGTGTGTGTGTGTGTGTGTGTGTGTGTGAATCCTCTGTGGACCTGGCCCTGAGTAATTTGTTTTAACATAATTTTAGTGCTTTATCGTTCATTTCTCCTGGTAAAACAAAGCTGCCGTCCTTCCTGTTATTCTGACCCTTGGGTAGCATGTGAATTAGGCTAAATGAGGGCGGGTGGGTTTACACAGACAAAGTGCAGCTTCCAGATGTTCAAACTCCAGCTGGGTCTGATCAGAACAAATATTTCACGGGAAATGTGATGCGCAATCTGCTAACTCTTTCGGTGCCATTGAGACGTAGCAACGAGTTAGGAAAGTAAACTAACAGGATGTTTAATGTCTCGTACAGAGCACTAGTCCTGGTTTTCTGTCATTTTATCCCAGACTGAATAAATATTGGGAGTTCTCCCTTAACTTGACTGACCATTCGTTTTAATTAGTTTAATTAGTGAATAAATTATCTTAAACCTGCAACAGTAAAAAGCAAACCCTCCGTGAGTTTTAGCACCTTCATGATGTAAGTAGACTCTCAGTGTTGCTGGGGAAATCACAAATGGTTTACCATTTGCAGCACATTTGAAAAATATTTCAAAGTGTTTTTTTTTACTTATTTTGGATCTGTAGCAGATATAGGATTGTGTGAACGTGAACCTGATGGTCCCTGTCAATGGTCATGTGACGGAAGTGAGGGAACACTGCCTATTTCTATGGGGAGTGATACGTGATGGATTGCCTGATTTGTTTGGCGTGGGCGCCATTTTTCGGACTGATTTACATGTGCCTGTATATGCAGCTGTGGGTCAACAAGTGTGTGGGGGGGGGATGGGGGGCGGCAACAGCTCTGTAAAGTATAGTTAAGTGAAATGTATTACTTGTCTGTGCCTCTTCCCCTACCCCTTCCTGTTACAGCAGGACATGGTCACAAGGACACTCTTCCACCCCCCGCCCCCCATCAGCTTCTTGGGATTGAAACCCCTGGTATTTTGTGTTGGAGACCCCATGTAGGGGGTCTGTGCATGTAAAACCACGTGTGACAAAATAAACAGTCAGTGTTGTACCTCCAGAGCTGCGTCTCGTCCAGTTACTGGGGGGGTGGGAGGGAATGGCTGTCTGCCTGTTCTAAGGGTTCCTGAGTTGCTGAAGGAAGGTAATAGCGGAGGTAGCCAGTCGGGTAACCTGTGGTCCACTATAACTACTTTACAGAGCTGCTGCCCCCGCCCCCCTTTGTTGACCCACAGCTGCATATACAGGCACATGTAAAACAGACCCAAAAATGGTGCCACAAGCTTATGGCCCGCGCCAAACAAATCAGGCCATCCATCACATATCTCCCCCCATAGAAATAGACAGTGGGAACATGGGGATATGGCAATCAGTGACGGCGTTCCATCACAGGTCATACCTGTCAATGCTCCTACCCCACCTTGCTGGGCAGGGAAGAGAGCAGACTGCATAGAGCACAGTGTAAGGGGTCGGCTATCTCTAGAGAGAGTGGTGAGGCTGACTGACACCCAGTCCTAGTGCCCAGTCCTGACATGCATTTTGATATGTCAGCAGATTTTAAAATGTTAGACAGGTCCTCGAGACTTATTTTACCAGAATGTGGAACTGTCCTGGCAATTTTGAAACTGTTGGCACCTAGGCAACCGTCAACTATCTGCAACTATGTATATTGAGTGTTTACTGTTGACTTCACTGACCAAAAGTAAAGAATATTTTCCAGAATGTTTTGGACGAGTTGTTGTGGTATCCCTCCTTCGCCTCATCTTCACATCTTTTGGTTCCTAGAGGGGACAAAGGAATTTCGAATCAGACAGTAGGTTGTATTTGAGTCAGCGTTCATTTATAGTCCGAGACACTGTCAGAGAAAGCTCTCCAGCTCTTATATTTAATTCTGGGGGCCTATGTAGTGTTCAGTATGTTGCATTAGATCTGTGGATGCTGGGTATCTTCAATGCTAAATTCTTGTGAAATGCATGTCCATATCTGGATTTCAGTGAAACACGTTGCTTTGAAGGGTTACCATTTAAATAATAGAAACAACTACCATTGCTTTCTCATCTACAACAAGCCCAGGTGTGTTCCTTTAACCCCAAGCTGACCTTGCGATCTCCATTTCATCACCTGTTTTTGTGGCCGTGCTATCAACGAATATCCTCCGGTTCTCCGAGGAGGCTTGGTTTTTTTGCTACTGTCACTATTCCTCTTGGGCCTCTGAAATGTGAATGAAAATCCATCAAACATCAGTGGAGTGTCAGTAATCATTTATTCGATATTATTAAATTAATATACTGCCTTAGATATAGTTACAGGAATTCTTGTGGCTACGTCACTGTAACGGATCACCTGGCACCCTGACTGGTTACTTCTGCCAAAGATGCTCCTAGCGCTTACCAAGGACCATCAGCACCGCACCGAGCACTCCACTTGACACCATAAGCACTGCAGGCCCCACGAACTGCCGCAGCTTGGTTGGGGTCTCGACGTCTCCTACCCACCCTGGACCTACGACAAGGCTCCAGGTCCCAGTGGGTGAACCTCTCTATCCCCAGAGAGCAAAGCAGGAAGAGGAACAAGCTCTTAGAAGAGCTTAGTGATTATAGCAAGGGAGTATGAAGAGCATAGCAATCCCCTGTAGCAGATTCCCCCCAATAAGAGACAAGACTCTAAATTGAGGGTAAGTAGAACTGGTTTAATGAGCACAAAGGCATTTCTTTTATACAGTATTCCCCACAAGGTTACCACTCACGTGGACCTTGTGGAGCACAGGACACAAAGTCACAACAGCCAATCAACACAGTATTGTACAGTTAGACACTCCTATCTAATGTACACAAACCCTCTCCTCTGCCTGTGATACAATTACCAAACACAATGGACTAACTCAATTACCACAGGCAGAAAATATCCAGTTTTACTCAAAGTCCAGAAACACCCCAAAACAACATCATATCCCTACAAATCCTACATCCCTGGATAGCCCTGATCTGGGTGAACAACATATCCAAAAATCACCCAGATCAGAGCAGGGGTTCAAAAGTTTTGTGGAAGTCACAATTGACCAACCGCAAGCATTGTTTTCACGCCCAAGACAGTTCCACAGATTTAGGCTGTGTGGCCGGTCTATCTTCTCCTCTTTACTGGAGATAATTGGCTTAAGTGGCTGTGGTAACTTAATTATCTCCAGTAACAGGAAATATCTCTAAGTCAAAAACTGTTAGAAAAACCACATAAAAATACATAACTCTTATAATACAATGTTTAACCTATATGTCCAACATATCCCCAGATAGCTTGGATCTGAGCGCTCAATATGTCCAATGTTAAAAGTGTCCTATAGTACAAATAAGGTTGGGGTCAGAAAATGGCAAGGGCTGATGGGAGATTGAGGAGGGACAAAGCAGCCAGTTTAAACTGGTCTGGCAGTGTCCCAGGGACAACGCCCTGCTGGAGAAACAATAGGTCAGGAAAAAGGGGAAGAGGCACATTTTCCCATGGATTTAAAGGGACAGAAACAGTTTTTAAAATCCAATAAGCCCAAATAGGGTTTTTAACCCCTTAAGGACCAAACTTCTGGAATAAAAGGGAATCATGACATGTCACACATGTCATGTGTCCTTAAGGGGTTAAAGGGGAATATATCCAAGGGGCCATAGTCACAGGGCATTCGTCACAATCATGTAATATTAAATATACAAATAGCTCAATAACATCATGTAATATTAAATATACAAATAGCTCTATAACATCATGTAATATTAAATATACAAATAGCTCTATAGCATCATGTAATATTAAATATACAAATAGCTCAATAACATCATGTTATATTAAATATACAAATAGCTCAATAACATCATGTTATATTAAATATACAAATAGCTCTATAACATCATGTTATATTAAATAAACAAATAGCTCTATAACATCATGTAATATTAAATATACAAATAGCCCTATAGCATCATGTTATATTAAATATACAAATAGCTCAATAACATCATGTAATATTAAATATACAAATAGCTCTATAACATCATGTAATATTAAATATACAAATAGCTCAATAACATCATGTTATATTAAATATACAAATAGCTCTATAACATCATGTTATATTAAATAAACAAATAGCTCTATAACATCATGTAATATTAAATATACAAATAGCCCTATAGCATCATGTTATATTAAATATACAAATAGCTCAATAACATCATGTAATATTAAATATACAAATAGCTCTATAACATCATGTAATATTAAATATACAAATAGCTCTATAGCATCATGTAATATTAAATATACAAATAGCCCTATAGCATCATGTTATATTAAATATACAAATAGTCCTATAACATCATGTAATATTAAATAAACAAATAGCTCTATAACATCATGTAGTATTAAATATACAAATAGCCCTATAGCATCATGTTATATTAAATATACAAATAGCTCAATAACATCATGTAATATTAAATATACAAATAGCTCAATAACATCATGTAATATTAAATATACAAAAAGCTCTATAACATCATGTAATATTAAATATACAAATAGTCCTATAACATCATGTAATATTAAATATACAAATAGTCCTATAACATCATGTAATATTAAATATACAAATAGCTCTATAACATCATGTTATATTAAATATACAAATAGCTCTATAGCATCATGTACTATTAAATATACAAATAGCTCTATAACATCATGTTATATTAAATATACAAATAGCTCTATAACATCATGTTATATTAAATATACAAATAGCTCTATAGCATCATGTAATATTAAATATACAAATAGCTCTATAGCATCATGTAATATTAAATATACAAATAGCTCTATAACATCATGTAATATTAAATATACAAATAGCTCAATAACATCATGTAATATTAAATATACAAATAGCTCTATAGCATCATGTAATATTAAATATACAAATAGCTCAATAACATCATGTAATATTAAATATACAAATAGCTCTATAACATCATGTAATATTAAATATACAAATAGCTCTATAGCATCATGTTATATTAAATATACAAATAGCTCAATAACATCATGTTATATTAAATATACAAATAGCTCTATAACATCATGTTATATTAAATATACAAATAGCTCTATAGCATCATGTAATATTAAATATACAAATAGCTCTATAACATCATGTAATATTAAATATACAAATAGCTCTATAACATCATGTTATATTAAATATACAAATAGCTCTATAACATCATGTAATATTAAATATACAAATAGCTCAATAACATCATGTAATATTAAATATACAAATAGCTCTATAGCATCATGTTATATTAAATATACAAATAACTCTATAACATCATGTAATATTAAATATATAAATAGCTCTATAGCATCATGTAATATTAAATATACAAATAACTCTATAACATCATGTAATATTAAATATACAAATAAATCTATAACATCATGTTATATTAAATATACAAATAGCTCTATAACATCATGTAATATTAAATATACAAATAGCTCAATAACATCATGTAATATTAAATATACAAATAGCTCTATAGCATCATGTTATATTAAATATACAAATAACTCTATAACATCATGTAATATTAAATATATAAATAGCTCTATAGCATCATGTTATATTAAATATACAAATAACTCTATAACATCATGTAATATTAAATATACAAATAACTCTATAACATCATGTTATATTAAATATACAAATAGCTCTATAACATCATGTAATATTAAATATACAAATAGCTCTACAGCATCATGTAATATTAAATATACAAATAGCTCTATAACATCATGTAACATTAAATATACAAATAGCTCTATAACATCATGTAATATTAAATATACAAATAGCTCTATAGCATCATGTAATATTTTTTTTATAAATTCTTTATTTATATATAACATATGTGAGGTTACAGAACAAAGAGAGGGCTTAGAGGGGGTACCATCATACACAACAAAAACCACAGAGATTTGCAATTAGTACATTTGTATGTCAATGAGCATAAAGTTTGTGGGATCTCGTGGGATGTGCATTCTCGTACCTTCACGTGTATGAGAGATGTTCCTCCTGTTCTGAGTGTGTGTGACTATGTGTGCATTTGTCTTGTTTGTCTGGGGAGGGAATAGGAGGGATGGGGGGGGAGCGGTGACGATGGTGGGGCGTGCGCAGGCAGGAGGGGTACGGGGCTAGTGGGGTGGGAGGTGGTCGGTTGGCGTGTGTTTTTGCCCACGCTCGTGGTCTCTGTGGGTCATCTTGCTGCTCCACGGGCAGTCCTTTCCCTGCTTTGCGTCCCGTGTGGGGAGACAGGACCAGGAATGGGGCTCTCGAGAGATGCCTTGTGTTGTCGGCGTTTGACTAGTCATTGCATTGTGAGTGCTATTGGCTGTGGTGGGGGTGTGTTGCCCTATGGGCTCTCTGGAGCACCCGAGCGTGGTTGATGGTGTGTGGGCGGAATGAGGAGGGGGGGAGGTGGTCTCGGGGGAGGATGTGGGTCTCGCCGTGTTAGTCTGTGCTGGGCAGACGGTGGTGACTGTGGTGTGCCTCCATTTCTTAGGATGGAGAAGGGGGCCTTGTGGGGATAGATGCCCTCTCTATCCACGCCTGCAGGGCCCCGATGGGGTGCGGAGGGGAGGGGAGGGGTGGGAAGGGAGAGAGAGAGAGGGAATGGGGGGAAAGAAAGGGAAAAAAAAGGGGGAGGGGGGGTGCATTCTGGCTTCCGTTCCAAGTTGAGCAGATCCCGTTCAGGGTTCCAGTAGCAGTGCGCCTGTGTGGTAGGCCTTCTGTGCGAGGTATCATTGAGGGGGCGCTATCCTCAGTCCAGGGTGTCCGTTCTTAGGCTGGCCTAGCATCATGTAATATTAAATATACAAATAGCTCTATAACATCATGTAATATTAAATATACAAATAGCTCTATAACATCATGTTATATTAAATATACAAATAGCTCTATAACATCATGTAATATTAAATATACAAATAGCTCTATAACATCATGTTATATTAAATATACAAATAACTCTATAACATCATGTTATATTAAATATACAAATAGCTCTATAACATCATGTTATATTAAATATACAAATAACTCTATAACATCATGTTATATTAAATATACAAATAGCTCTATAGCATCATGTTATATTAAATATACAAATAGCTCTATAGCATCATGTAATATTAAATATACAAATAGCTCAATAACATCATGTTATATTAAATATACAAATAGCTCTATAGCATCATGTAATATTAAATATACAAATAGCTCTATAGCATCATGTAATATTAAATATACAAATAGCTCTATAACATCATGTAATATTAAATATACAAATAGCTCAATAATATCATGTAATATTAAATATACAAATAGCTCTATAACATCATGTAATATTAAATATACAAATAGCTCTATAACATCATGTAATATTAAATATACAAATAGTCCTATAACATCATGTAATATTAAATATACAAATAGCTCTATAGCATCATGTAATATTAAATATACAAATAGCTCTATAACATCATGTTATATTAAATATACAAATAGCTCTATAGCATCATGTAATATTAAATATACAAATAGCTCTATAACATCATGTAATATTAAATATACAAATAGCTCTATAGCATCATGTTATATTAAATATACAAATAGCTCTATAGCATCATGTAATATTAAATATACAAATAGCTCAATAACATCATGTAATATTAAATATACAAATAGCTCTATAACATCATGTAATATTAAATATACAAATAGCTCTATAACATCATGTTATATTAAATATACAAATAGCTCAATAACATCATGTAATATTAAATATACAAATAGCTCTATAGCATCATGTTATATTAAATATACAAATAGCTCAATAACATCATGTTATATTAAATATACAAATAGCTCTATAACATCATGTTATATTAAATAAACAAATAGCTCTATAACATCATGTAATATTAAATATACAAATAGCTCTATAACATCATGTAATATTAAATAAACAAATAGCTCTATAACATCATGTAATATTAAATATACAAATAGCTCTATAGCATCATGTAATATTAAATATACAAATAGCTCTATAACATCATGTAATATTAAATATACAAATAGCTCTATAGCATCATGTTATATTAAATATACAAATAGCTCAATAACATCATGTAATATTAAATATACAAATAGCTCTATAGCATCATGTAATATTAAATATACAAATAGCTCTATAACATCATGTAATATTAAATATACAAATAGCTCTATAGCATCATGTAATATTAAATATACAAATAGCTCTATAACATCATGTAATATTAAATATACATGTTATATTAAATATACAAATAGCTCTATAGCATCATGTACTATTAAATATAGAAATAGCTCTATAACATCATGTAATATTAAATATACAAATAGCTCTATAGCATCATGTAATATTAAATATACAAATAGCTCTATAGCATCATGTAATATTAAATATACAAATAGCTCTATAACATCATGTTATATTAAATATACAAATAGCTCTATAACATCATGTAATATTAAATATACAAATAGCTCAATAACATCATGTAATATTAAATATACAAATAGCTCTATAGCATCATGTTATATTAAATATACAAATAGCTCTATAACATCATGTAATATTAAATATACAAATAGCTCTATAGCATCATGTTATATTAAATATACAAATAGTTCAATAACATCATGTTATATTAAATATACAAATAGCTCTATAGCATCATGTAATATTAAATATACAAATAGCTCAATAACATCATGTTATATGAAATATACAAATAGCTCAATAACATCATGTAATATTAAATATACAAATAGTCCTATAGCATCATGTTATATTAAATATACAAATAGCTCTATAGCATCATGTAATATTAAATATACAAATAGCTCAATAACATCATGTAATATTAAATATACAAATAGTCCTATAGCATCATGTTATATTAAATATACAAATAGCTCTATAGCATCATGTAATATTAAATATACAAATAGCTCAATAACATCATGTTATATTAAATATACAAATAGTCCTATAGCATCATGTTATATTAAATATACAAATAGCTCTATAGCATCATGTAATATTAAATATACAAATAGCTCAATAACATCATGTTATATGAAATATACAAATAGTCCTATAGCATCATGTTATATTAAATATACAAATAGCTCAATAACATCATGTAATATTAAATATACAAATAGCTCAATAACATCATGTAATATTAAATATACAAATAGTCCTATAGCATCATGTTATATTAAATATACAAATAGTCCTATAGCATCATGTTATATTAAATATACAAATAGCTCAATAACATCATGTAATATTAAATATACAAATAGCTCAATAACATCATGTAATATTAAATATACAAATAGTCCTATAGCATCATGTTATATTAAATATACAAATAGCTCTATAACATCATGTTATATTAAATATACAAATAGCTCAATAACATCATGTAATATTAAATATACAAATAGCTCTATAACATCATGTAATATTAAATATACAAATAGCTCAATAACATCATGTTATATTAAATATACAAATAGTCCTATAGCATCATGTTATATTAAATATACAAATAGCTCAATAACATCATGTAATATTAAATATACAAATAGCTCAATAACATCATGTAATATTAAATATACAAATAGTCCTATAGCATCATGTTATATTAAATATACAAATAGCTCTATAACATCATGTTATATTAAATATACAAATAGCTCAATAACATCATGTAATATTAAATATACAAATAACTCTATAACATCATGTTATATTAAATATACAAATAGCTCTATAACATCGTTATATTAAATATACAAATAGCTCTATAGCATCATGTAATATTAAATATACAAATAGCTCTATAACATCATGTAATATTAAATATACAAATAGCTCTATAACATCATGTAATATTAAATATACAAATAGCTCTATAACATCATGTAATATTAAATATACAAATAGCTCAATAATATCATGTTATATTAAATATACAAATAGCTCTATAGCATCATGTAATATTAAATATACAAATAGCTCTATAACATCATGTTATATTAAATATACAAATAGCTCTATAGCATCATGTAATATTAAATATACAAATAGCTCAATAACATCATGTAATATTAAATATACAAATAGTCCTATAGCATCATGTTATATTAAATATACAAATAGCTCTATAGCATCATGTAATATTAAATATACAAATAGCTCAATAACATCATGTTATATTAAATATACAAATAGTCCTATAGCATCATGTTATATTAAATATACAAATAGCTCTATAGCATCATGTAATATTAAATATACAAATAGCTCAATAACATCATGTAATATTAAATATACAAATAGTCCTATAGCATCATGTTATATTAAATATACAAATAGCTCAATAACATCATGTAATATTAAATATACAAATAGCTCAATAACATCATGTAATATTAAATATACAAATAGTCCTATAGCATCATGTTATATTAAATATACAAATAACTCTATAACATCATGTTATATTAAATATACAAATAGCTCAATAACATCATGTAATATTAAATATACAAATAGTCCTATAGCATCATGTTATATTAAATATACAAATAGTCCTATAGCATCATGTAATATTAAATATACAAATAGCTCAATAACATCATGTAATATTAAATATACAAATAGTCCTATAGCATCATGTTATATTAAATATACAAATAGCTCTATAACATCATGTTATATTAAATATACAAATAGCTCAATAACATCATGTAATATTAAATATACAAATAACTCTATAACATCATGTTATATTAAATATACAAATAGCTCTATAACATCATGTAATATTAAATATACAAATAGCTCTATAACATCATGTTATATTAAATATACAAATAGCTCTATAGCATCATGTTATATTAAATATACAAATAACTCTATAACATCATGTAATATTAAATATACAAATAGCTCTATAACATCATGTTATATTAAATATACAAATAGCTCTATAACATCATGTAATATTAAATATACAAATAGCTCTATAACATCATGTTATATTAAATATACAAATAGCTCTATAACATCATGTAATATTAAATATACAAATAGCTCTATAACATCATGTAATATTAAATATACAAATAGCTCTATAACATCATGTAATATTAAATATACAAATAGCTCTATAACATCATGTTATATTAAATATACAAATAGCTCTATAGCATCATGTACTATTAAATATACAAATAGCTCTATAACATCATGTTATATTAAATATACAAATAGCTCTATAACATCATGTTATATTAAATATACAAATAGCTCTATAGCATCATGTAATATTAAATATACAAATAGCTCAATAACATCATGTTATATTAAATATACAAATAGCTCTATAGCATCATGTAATATTAAATATACAAATAGCTCTATAGCATCATGTAATATTAAATATACAAATAGCTCTATAACATCATGTAATATTAAATATACAAATAGCTCAATAACATCATGTAATATTAAATATACAAATAGCTCTATAATATAAACGTGAAGTATATATTAAAGGAAAATAAAGCCTTCAGCCTTGTGATTTATTATGACGTCTCCAGGACACTCCGGTGGCATCGAGACATGTGAATAGTTTTAGAGAAATAATTATTTGCTTATATTAATGGTGTATGTCAGCATTATTTCACATAGAGGCCAATGGAAGGTAAATGGGGCAATGTGATTGGCTGCAACTGACAAATGTTTAATTGATGGTTTTCACGAGGCACATATTGAAGATAAAAGGAGCAATATCAGAGCAAGTCTAAATCCCTCTGGCAGGATGCAATATTTGTGCTGAGGATTCAGGGCATCCCTTTGGTACCCTATGGGGAATTAGTATTTAGTGTTACTGTCCGCTGCCCACATTGAATGAAACCATTTTCTGTGATTCTTACCACTTTATGAAGTCCTCCTTCATGTGGGTCATTGGCCACTAAAGTTCCGAGAGGTCCATAACCGACATTGAAGTCATCATGATCGTAATCCTACAGGAGAGAATTGGGATTTATGGGAAGGTGAAGTTAAAAAAGTTTATATTTTATAAAGACCTGATTTATAGTTGTACAGCATTATACATTACTGTATCGATTAAAATAATGGATGGACTTCCCCTTCCGTACGTCCAGGTTTTCCTTCCTTTCCCCACCCTTATTAAAAATGTTACAAAAACTTTAAATAAAAATTATTTGAAAAGAATAAATATATTGATTATGGTCTGAGCCTCAGGTAACATCCATGCCTGGCAAGGCCAACTCTAAAAATACAAGAGGCTTAAAGAGAAAATCATCGATTAGATTCAGTGAACAAAGAGTTAACCAATTCCTCGGAAAACTATTTAATAAGCAACATATTTGGAACATTTGGGTAAAGTAGCAAAACTGAATGAAAAACTCCCACGTTGGATGTGGTCGCTGAATTTACTAATTCCATTTAGAATCATGTGGTGCTAACAATAAAATACTCCAAGTGGATCATGGACTATAATAACATAATAATAATAATAATAATAACCTGAATTCTAACAAATCGGAAACTGATTTCCTGAATTTAGGGTTAAACAGCTGATTTTGAGGAATCCCAGCTTAAATAATTACTGTAAAGTATAGGCATATCACTAAATAGCAACAGGCTGGGCCAGGATCTGCAGATACGGGATCTCTTTCACCATATTAATTCACCAAATTATACTGATTCTCCCCCCATAATATCATAATTACCTACAGCACGTGAACACAGCATTAAAATAACAAACTAACTGCATGACAGTTGACTATACTTGTGTGTTGAGTTAAGATACTATGCCCTGCTGCACCCACCACAGCCCTAATTAATCCCTGCACCCACCACAGCCCCAATTATCCCCTTCGCCCACCACAGCCTAAATTATCACCTGCGCCGACCACAGCCCCAATTACCCCCTGTGCCCACCACAGCCCTAATTAATCCCTGCACCCACCAAAGCCCCAATTAACCCCTGCACCCACCACAGCCTAAATTATCACCTGCGCCCACCACAGCCCCAATTATCCCCTGCGCCCACCACAACCTAAATTATCACCTGCGCCGACCACAGCCCCAATTAATCCCTGCACCCACCACAGTCCCTATTAAGCCCTGCACCCACTATAGCCCCTATTACCCCCTGCACCCACCACGGCCCCAATTATCCCCTGCGCCCACCACAGCCTAAATTATCACCTGTGCCCACCACAGCCCCAATTATCCCCTGCGCCCACCACAGCCCCAATTATCCCCTGCGCCTACCACAGCCTAAATTATCACCTGCGCCCACCACAGTCCCAATTATTCTGTGCGCCCACAACAGCCTAAATTATCACCTGCGCCCACCACAGCCCCAATTATCCCCTGCACCCACCACAGCCCCAATTATCCCTGCGCCCACCACAGCCCCAATTACCCTGTTCCCACCACAGCCCCAATTAATCCTGCACCCACCACATTCCCTATCCCCATGTATCCACTACAGCCCCTATTGCCCCCTGCACCCACTACAACCCTTATTACCCCGTGCACCCACTACAGACTCCCATCACCCATGCACCTACTACACCCCCTGCACCCACCACAGTCCCTATTACCCCCTGCACCCACTACAACCCCTACCCCCTGCATCCACTATATCACCCTATTACTGCCTGCACCCACTACAGCCCCTATTATCCTCTGCACCCACTACAGCCCCTATTATCCTCTGCACCCACTACAGCCTCATCCCCCTGCACCCACTACATCGTCCTATTACTACCTGCACCCACTACATCGCCCTATTACTCCCTGAATCCACTACATCGCCCTATTACTCCCTGCACCCACTACATCGCCCTATTACTACCTGCACCCACTACATCGCCCTATTACTCCCTGCACCCACTACATCGCCCTATTACTGCCTGCACCCACTACATCGCCCTATTACTACCTGCACCCACTACATCGCCCTATTACTCCCTGCACCCACTACATCTCCCTATTACTACCTGCATCCACTACATCGCCCTATTACTACCTGCACCCACTACATCACCCTATTACTACCTGCACCCACTACATCGCCCTATTACTACCTGCACCCACTACATCGCCCTATTACTGCCTGCATCCACTACATCGCCCTATTACTACCTGCACCCACTACATCTCCCTATTACTGCCTGCACCCACTACATCGCCCTATTACTCCCTGCACCCACTACATCGCCCTATTACTCCCTGCACCCACTACATCGCCCTATTACTACCTGCACCCACTACATCGCCCTATTACTGCCTGCACCCACTACATCGCCCTATTACTACCTGCATCCACTACATCGCCCTATTACTACCTGCACCCACTACATCTCCCTATTACTGCCTGCACCCACTACATCGCCCTATTACTCCCTGCATCCACTACATTGCCCTATTACTCCTTGCACCCACTACATCGCCCTATTACTCCCTGCATGCACTACCTACAGCTTTTATCCCCATGCACCAACTGTAAAGGATCCTTCTATTCGTGCAGCGATGATCCTTGCAGCTTCTCCCGAAATCCAGCTGAAACGAAGTGATTATAACTCCAAATCCCCCAAACATGAGTCGAGACTTCATGAAGGGGTAAAACGATCTGATTTACTGTGGGCTACCTGCCCGGTATTTATGCAGGTCTCCCACCTGGTGGACACTCCCCTAGGGGACCAGATGGAAGACTGGGACAAAAGAATTACAGTAGCCAATCACAGTGGCTATAACATAAGCACTCCCCTTTTACATAGTTCACTCCCTCCTTTCCATCCTGGAGATAATTAACTTAAGGTAGCAAAGAGAGCCTTAATTATCTCCAGGAAGAAAGAAACATGGCTTTTCTTATTTCAGCAAAACAGAATAAAAATATATAACTTTCTTTTTACACAACATAAACTTTAAGTTCCACATATCCCCAGATAGCTTGGATCTGAGGGCATATTCTAGGCGAATAGCGCTCAGATCCCACAAACACAGTTCTCAGAATCGTCGACCGAAGTTTGACTTTCACCGGCCGTTCGTGTGTTTGCAGCCGACTGCAAGTTCCATACTATAGCTATCTGGGGTCGGTCACTTTCGCATACTTTCAGCGCACGAATGAAGTAGTATCCCCTTCATTCGTGTGTTTTTCCACCGTACGAACGGGGATGGGAGGAGGTAGCAGCGGTGTTCGACAAAATAAGCTATTACTACCTGCACCCACTACATCGCCCTATTACTCCCTGCACCCACTACATCGCCCTATTACTGCCTGCACCCACTACATCGCCCTATTACTACCTGCACCCACTACATCGCCCTATTACTCCCTGCACCCACTACATCGCCCTATTACTGCCTGCACCCACTACATTGCCCTATTACTCCCTGCACCCACTACATCTCCCTATTACTACCTGCATCCACTACATCGCCCTATTACTACCTGCACCCACTACATCATCCTATTACTACCTGCACCCACTACATCGCCCTATTACTACCTGCACCCACTACATCTCCCTATTACTGCCTGCACCCACTACATCTCCCTATTACTCCCTGCACCCACTACATCGCCCTATTACTCCCTGCACCCACTACATCGCCCTATTACTCCCTGCACCCACTACATCGCCCTATTACTACCTGCACCCACTACATCGCCCTATTACTGCCTGCATCCACTACATCGCCCTATTACTACCTGCACCCACTACATCTCCCTATTACTGCCTGCACCCACTACATCGCCCTATTACTACCTGCACCCACTACATCGCCCTATTACTCCCTGCATCCACTACATTGCCCTATTACTCCCTGCACCCACTACATCGCCCTATTACTCCCTGCATGCACTACCTACAGCTTTTATCCCCATGCACCAACTGTAAAGGATCCTTCTATTCGTGCAGCGATGATCCTTGCAGCTTCTCCCGAAATCCAGCTGAAACGAAGTGATTATAACTCCAAATCCCCCAAACATGAGTCGAGACTTCATGAAGGGGTAAAACGATCTGATTTACTGTGGGCTACCTGCCCGGTATTTATGCAGGTCTCCCACTTGGTGGACACTCCCCTAGGGGACCAGATGGAAGACTGGGACAAAAATATCACAGTAGCCAATCACAGTGGCTATAGCATAAGCACTCCCCTTTTACATAAATCACTCCCTCTTTTCCATCCTGGAGATAATTAACTTAAGGTAGCAAAGAGAGCCTTAATTATCTCCAGGAAGAAAGAAACATGGCTTTTCTTATTTCAGCAAAACCGAATAAAAATCTATAACTTTCTTTTTACACAACATAACCTTTAAGTTCCACATATCCCCAGATAGCTTGGATCTGAGGGCATATTCTAGGCGAATAGCGCTCAGATCCCACGAACACAGGTCTCAGAATCGTCGACCGAAGTTTGACTTTCACCGGCCGTTCGTGTGTTTGCAGCCGACTGCAAGTTCCATACTGTAGCTATCTGGGGTCAGTCACTTTCGCATACTTTCAGCGCACGAATGAAGTAGTATCCCCTTCATTCGTGTGTTTTTCCACCATACGAACGGGGATGGGAGGAGGTAGCAGCGGTGTTCGACAAAATAAGTAGCCGAAATCAGTTCCAGGGAATCCTCGCCATTTACCGCTGCACGTTCGACAATACAAAATGGCGATTGCCACGTGTTCGGTAAACGAACGCGGACCACCAGCTATTCCCCAATTAGTCTGTGGTTAACCGCAACAGTCAGGGTGGTCAATAGACGCCACACGACCTCAGTGGGAGGTCGGTGGTTAGGTAATTTATTTGCTTTTATGGCTATTTTCACGAAATCCCGCTGTAATCCTCCAAATAACCGAACAGGCTTGTTCGCATGGTCTGTAAATAAGGGATTTTGTTACACCAACTAAAGGCCCATTTCCACTCTGCAATCAATACCCCCTGCACCCAATACAGCCCCTGTTACCCCCGGTGGCTACCACAACCTGTATCCTCCTGTCACAGCGACTACTATGATTTATTGATGGATATAATTAGTGCCCCCCTATGTATATTGTGTGTATTATGTGCCCCCCCCCCCGTGTATTGTTCCTAGAGTGGCCCACTGGTGACGACACACTAGACCCCTGTCACAGTAAAACCAATCCAATCATCCGAGTGAGGAGCATTTTTAACAGATATAATGCCAACTATAGAATAGTGAGCTAACCAGGAGAAGAGATTGTGCAGGCAAGAAACTACAAATGGGAATCCCTCCGTTATCCCTCCAAAAACCAGTGCAAAAACTAACTGTATAGTAACAAAGTCAAAAAAAAGTGTAGGGCGCTACTCTCACAAACAAAGTGGTGGATATAATTACCGTCTAGGAGATGAGCACGATGGACTCACATGGAAAAGAGAAGAAAATATCAACTTTAATTACAAGAGATATAAAAAAAATAACAAAGGACACTCATAGAAGCCTTGGCACAACTGAAGCAAATCAATATGTGCAAAAGCGCTTTTGCCTTAAATAGGCTGATTCCCCAGGTACAGCAGTCTCAGGTGGTGGTATTATGCGTCCACAGATCTTCCTTCACTGATTAAATGGGACCATTCTTGCACTACCAGCTGCTGGGATCCTTTCGGGGCTCAGGAAATGCTCAACACGTTTCGTGTTTTTCGTCAGACTTCGTCAGGAGCTTGTTCTCTCTTCTAAGACCGGCGATTTAAATATGCCGGGCCACGTCCCATAGATGTGTCTGTAGTGATGCAGGAATATGATGTATTTTCTGCACCTGGCATCACTAAACTGCGCGCGTAAGGGAGCACTGAGGAGCAGGAAAGGAGAGGCCCCACACCAGCTTCCAAAGGTAGGGAACAATAAATTAAATGATGTGAGTGTGTGCAACAATGTGTGTGTGTGTCTGTCAGTGAGTGTGTCTGTGTGTCTGTCAGTGTGAGTGTGTCTGTCAGTAAGTGTGTGTCTGTGTGTCTTTCAGTGTGTGTGTGTGTGTGTCTGCCTGTCAGTATGTGTGTGTCTGTCAGTGAGTGAGTGTGTGTGTGCGTGTCTCTGTCAGAGAGTGTGTGTGTCTGCCGGTTTGTGTGTATCCGTCAATCAGTGAGTGAGTGTGTGTGTGTGTGTGTGTTAGTGAGTGTGTGTGTGTGTCTGTGTGTCTGTCAGTGAGTGTGTGTGTCTGTCAGTGAATGTGTCTGTGTGTCTGGCAGTGTGGGTGTGTGTGTGTGTCTGTCAGCGAGTGTGGGTCTGTGTGTCTTTCAGTGTCAGTGTGTGTCTGTCAGTGAGTCAGTGTGTGTGTGTGTCTCTGTCAGAAAGTGTGTGTCTGCCAGTGTGTGTGTGTCGGTCAATCAGTGAGTGAGTGTGTGTGTGTGTCAGTGAGTGTGTGTATGTGTCTGTCAGTGAGTGTGTGTGTGTGTCTGTCAGTGAGTGTGTCTGTGTGTCTGTCAGTGTGTCTATCAGTGAGTGTGGGTCTGTGTGTCTTTCAGTGTCTGTGTGTGTGTGTCAGTGTTTGTGTGTCTGTCAATCAGTGAGTGAGTGAGTGAGTGAGTGTGTCTGTCAGAGAGTGAGTGTGTGTGTGTCAGTGTGTGTGTGTCTGTCAATCAGTGAGTGAGTGAGTGTGTGTCAGAGAGTGAGTGTGTGTTTGTCAGTGTGTGCATCTGTCAATCAGTGAGTGAGTGTCAGGGCCGGACTGGGGATACGAAGCAGCCCTGAAAAAAATCTATGCCAGCCCCATAAGTCATTGTGCTATGTAGGAGGGTATATATATATATATATATATATATATATATATATATATATGCAATTGAAATAGTTGGCTGCACTCTCGGATTTCCTGAAAATGTAACTTTTATTGAAATATTTAAGAGAAGATCAACGTTTCAGTCCCTCTTGTGGACTTTCGTCAGGATCATGACGAAAGTCCACAAGAGGGACTGAAACGTTGATCTTCTCTTAAATATTTCAATAAAAGTTACATTTTCAGGAAATCCGAGAGTGCAGCCAACTATTTCAATTGCCTATATATATATATAAATATAGGCAATTTAAATAGTTGGCTGCACACTCATGCTTACTACAGACAAGCTCACTGTACACACATGCTCACCACAGACAGGCTCCGACACACCCATGCTCCTTACAGACAAGCTCACTAACACACACACACATATGATCCCTACAGACAAGCTCACTGACACACATACAAGCTCACTCACTAGCAGGCACACACACACACACAAACTCACTAGCAGCCACACACACACACACACACACACACACAGGCAGACAGTCATTGACACCGAAGCAAACACCCTGTGAGGAACTGACTCTGCTGGGTTTCGAACCCTGGTTTACATGATGCTAAACCTTTTCATTACCAGTACACCAGCCTGCCTTTTGCAAATTTACCTGAGATCTGATACCATTGCTTGTAGAGTCAAGGTTATCAGTGACAACTCACTTCAGCTGTGTCTAGTCAGGTGTCTGGTTCTTGGCCTATAAAAGCCACTTCCTGTCTCTTTACCTTTGCCAGATTATTGTGGTTCCTGTACTCTCTAATCCAGCGTGTTCCTGTTTCTCCTTCCTGTTGCTGAATTTGGACTGTTTTGACTTTGCTGCTTCTCCTTCCCACTGACCTCGGCTTGCCTCACTACGATTATCATCTTTCTGTTCCAGTCTCCCATCTCTGCTTAAGACCAGAAGGCCACTCAAGGCTCAGGGGCTCAACCACCTGGGTAACGAGTGGCTACCTCTGGCAGAAAACATTGCTGATCTGGCTACTGGACTCCAAAACTTTGTAACATCAATATCATTACAGAATAATCTGGCCCATTCATGGAGACCGTCGGATCAGATTCTGCATTGGCCCAGCAGGTTGCTTTTAATGCAAGAACTATGCAGACCCAGGCACAGACCATTCAAGTGCTGCAGGATCAGGTAGCTGAACTGCAAAATGAAGTTCGATCAATGCATAGTGAGCTTACCAGCTACAGGGCACATGATGTTGCGGCTGCTGCTACTACTACTGTTACACCTGCACAAGATGCCCGCTTGCCTCTACCAGAAAAATTTGGAGGAGACCGCAAAAAATTCAGGGGTTTCCTAAATCAATGCCGTTTGCATTTTATGATGTTACCTAACCATTTTCCATCTGAAAGAGAGAAGGTGGGATTTATTTTTTCCCTCTTCAAAGATGAAGCCCTGGCCTGGGGCTCCCCTTTTCTGGAACAGGACAGTCCAATCTTGGGAAATTTAAAAGACTTTCTTGAGGCCATGTGCCTAGTTTTTGATGATCCCAATCGCTGTGCTACAGCAGAAGCCACTCTCCTTCATTTACATCAAGGGAGGCGCTCTGTGGCTGAATATGCTGCTGAATTCAGACAGTGGGTTACTGATACTACTTGGAACCAATCAGCCCAGAGGTTCCACTTCAGAAGGGGTCTCTCAGAAGCTATAAAAGATGAGCTAGCTCGTGTTGATCTTCCTGTTGAGTTTGATGCATTTGTGCGGTTGGCTATCCGTATTGATCGGAGACTTTCAGAAAGAAGATTGGAAAGACAGGGCTCTTTTAAACCAAGTGCTACTCCTACTTTCTATTCAAGAATTTCTACTCCGACCCCACAAACACCTACAGACTCTGAACCTGAGGCTATGCAAGTAGATCTAATAAGAGGGCCATTATCCAATGAAGAAAAACAGTGGCGACGCACTCACAACTTATGCCTGTATTGTGGTAGTGCAGGGCATTATGCCATCAAGTGCCCTAACAAGTCTAAAAGAACAATAGCTATGACTGCTGAGGGTGCACAGATTCAACACCAATCCCAGATTTCAGACCAACTGGATTCTGTCACACAACCCTTGTTTTCTCTGGCTCAGGGTGAAGAAGGTATGATGACTCAACATCCTCATTTGGTGGTGCCTATCACTTTGCAATATGGTAATAATATAATTTCAACTACAGCTATGATAGATTCCGGAGCAGGCGGAAACTTTATGGACATTAAATTTGCAGCAGGAAATAAAATTCAGTCTATCCCTAAATCTTCACCTGTGTTAATGGAAACAGTAGACGGTTCTCCACTTACGTCAGGCCCGGTTACACATGAGACTGTGCCCTTAAAATTGATTCTGGAAGTGAATCACCATGAGTCTATATCTTTCCACCTAATTTCCTCAACACAGTTTCCAGTGATTTTGGGTATACCCTGGCTTGCTCTGCATAACCCACAGATTGATTGGAAGACTAGAACTTTGTCCTTTCCTTCAGAACACTGCTTAATGAATTGTCAACCCTCTAAGGCGACACCTGTTACCACAACAATTAATGAAATGGTTGCTACAAACTTAACTAAGCTTCCGCTACAATATCAGGATTTTGCAGATGTCTGTGATAAGAAGAATGCTGATCAGCTTCCACCTCACAGGCCTTATGATTGCCCCATAGAGCTGCTACCTGGAGCTGCTATCCCATTTGGCCGTATATACTCCCTTTCTGAGCCTGAATTGAAAGCACTTCGTGAATACATACAAGAAAATCTTGCCAAAGGCTTTATTCGACCATCCACTTCTCCAGCAGGAGCTCCTATATTCTTTGTAGAAAAGAAAGATGGCAGTCTACGGCCTTGTGTTGATTACAGGGACATTAATAAAATCACTGTTAAAAACCGTTATCCCTTGCCTCTCATTCCTGAACTTCTGGAGAGACTTCGTTCAGCTAAAATATTTACGAAGCTTGATCTACGGGGGGCATATAATCTGGTTCGCATAAGACCAAATGATGAATGGAAAACAGCTTTCAGAACCAGGTACGGACATTACGAATATCTAGTAATGCCATTTGGGCTTTGTAATGCCCCTGCAACTTTTCAGCATCTAATCAATGATGTACTACGGGATCTCCTGGATCAGTTTGTTGTGGCATATTTGGATGATATCCTGATATTTTCTGATGATCTTGAAAATCACAGAAAACAGGTCTGCATTGTTCTTGAGCGCCTTCGTACCCACCACCTATACATTAAACTGGAAAAATGTGAGTTTGAACAAACAGAAATTCAGTTCCTGGGGTATGTAATAACTCCTAAAGGTTTAAGTATGGACGCAAGTAAAATTAAAGCTGTGCTGGACTGGCCCATCCCCAAGAATGAAAAAGATATACAGAGATTTGTGGGGTTTGCCAATTTTTACAGGCGTTTCATTAAGAATTTCTCTGCCGTTATTACACCGATCACTGAACTTACACGTAAAGGGACTCCTTTTCAGTGGTCCAATAAGGCTGACACTGCATTTTCCAGATTAAAGACTCTGTTTACATCTGCCCCTATCTTGGTACATCCTCAGCCAGAATTGCCATTTACTGTAGAGGTAGATGCTTCTGATTCAGCTGTTGGGGCTATACTATCTCAAAGGACTGGACCTAAGATGTTGTTACATCCATGTGCCTTCTATTCCCGCCAGATGTTACCAGCAGAAAGAAATTATGACATAGGGAATAAAGAACTTTTGGCTATAAAAGCTGCCTTCACCGAATGGAGACATCTCTTGGAGGGAGCCACCCATCCAATTACTGTCCTCACAGATCACAAAAATCTGGAATGTATCCAATCCGCTAAGAGACTGTCAGCCAGACAAGCACGCTGGTCCCTATTTTTCTCAAGGTTTAATTTTTTTATTTCATACCGCCCTGGTTCCAGAAATGGCAAGGCGGATGCCTTGTCTAGGATAGCTGACCCCCTCCATACTACAGTAACCAAGGCCACCATCTTGCCAGAGAGCAGATTTTTAGGAGTTACCTTTCCTTCTGATCTAATGTCTCGCATTAAAAAGGGCTACTCTAAAGATCCAGTTTTTCGTGATCCTCCTCGTGATCTTCATATGACCATGCTTAATGGGTTTTGGATTTTTCAACAACGTCTGTTTGTTCCAGAATCAGTGCGACTGGACGTTTTACGCCTCTACCATGACTCTAAACCAGCAGGTCATCCAGGAATCCGAAAGACACAAGAACTACTTACCCGATCCTTTTGGTGGCCTAAATATTATGAGGATGTTAAGAAGTATGTGTCCTCTTGTGATGTATGTGCCAGACATAAGACTCCTCGCTCATCCCCTGTTGGCTTGCTTCAGCCTCTTCCGATTCCTCATCGTCCCTGGGGATCTATATCCATGGACTTTATTGTGGAACTACCTCCCTCTAAGGAACACACTACTATTCTTGTTGTTGTGGACCGGTTAACCAAGATGAGTCATTTCATACCAGCTCGTGGTCTCCCTTCAGCTAAACAGACTGCTGACCTTGTTATTCGGGAAATATTTCGCTTGCATGGAGTGCCTGATGAAGTAATTTCTGACAGGGGAGTGCAGTTTACATCTCATTTTTGGAAATATTTTTGTTCTATTCTAGGTATTAATGTAAATCTGTCTTCAGCTTTTCATCCACAAAGTAATGGACAGACTGAGCGAACCAACCAGACTTTAGAACAATATTTGCGGTGCTATATTAGTTACCTGCAGGATGACTGGCTGGATTTTCTACCCACGGCGGAGTTTGCCTATAACAATGCCCAACACTGCTCCACTTCTCTGAGCCCATTTTTTGCCAATTATGGTTACCATCCAACCTTTCTAGTGAGTCTCCCAATTACTACTCCCATTCCTGCAGTCACTGACCGGCTAACCGCCTTACGAGATTCCCAAGAACTGTTGAAGGAGACTCTTTCGGAGGCTCAGGAATGTTACAAAAGAGCTGCTGATAGGCACAGAAAGGAGGCCCCAGTTTATCATGTTGGTGACAAGGTTTGGCTGTCAACAAAGAATCTTAAGCTTAGGATTCCTTCTCATAAATTGGGTCAAAAGTTCATGGGACCTTTTAAGATAATCGCTCAGATCAATGCAGTCACCTTCCGTCTGCAACTTCCGGATTCCATGAAAATACATCCGGTGTTTCACGTGGCACTGCTTAAACCTTTTCATGAAAATACTTTCCCTGGTCGAGCCTTGCCTGCCCCACCACCAGTCCTCGTGGATGGGGAAGATGAATACGAGGTGGAAAAAATTCTTGACTCCAGGATCTTCCGCAACAAACTTCAATACTTGGTTCATTGGAAAGGCTATGGTGAGGAGGATAGATCATGGGAACCAGTGGACAATATTCATGCTCCTGATCTTCTTCAGTCTTTCCATGCACAGTACCCTGCTAAACCAGGAAATAGGGCATCCAGAGGCTGCGCCTGTAAAGGTGGAGGTAATGTGAGGAACTGACTCTGCTGGGTTTCGAACCCTGGTTTACATGATGCTAAACCTTTTCATTACCAGTACACCAGCCTGCCTTTTGCAAATTTACCTGAGATCTGATACCATTGCTTGTAGAGTCAAGGTTATCAGTGACAACTCACTTCAGCTGTGTCTAGTCAGGTGTCTGGTTCTTGGCCTATAAAAGCCACTTCCTGTCTCTGTACCTTTGCCAGATTATTGTGGTTCCTGTACTCTCTAATCCAGCGTGTTCCTGTTTCTCCTTCCTGTTGCTGAATTTGGACTGTTTTGACTTTGCTGCTTCTCCTTCCCACTGACCTCGGCTTGCCTCACTACGATTATCATCTTTCTGTTCCAGTCTCCCATCTCTGCTTAAGACCAGAAGGCCACTCAAGGCTCAGGGGCTCAACCACCTGGGTAACGAGTGGCTACCTCTGGCAGAAAACATTGCTGATCTGGCTACTGGACTCCAAAACTTTGTAACATCAATATCATTACACACCCACACATACAAAGACAGGCAGACAGCCACACACATACACAGACAGACAGCCACACACTCACACACAGGCAGACAGTCACACACACACACAGACAGTCACACACTCACAGACAGTCACACACTCACAGACAGTCACACACTCACAGGCAGTCACACACAGACAGTCACACACTCACACAGACAGTCACACACTCACACAGGCAGTCACACACTCACACAGTCACACAGTCACACACTTACACAGGCAGTCACACACAGACAGTCACACACAGACAATCACACACACAGACAGTCACACACTCACACAGGCAGTCACACACTCACACAGAGACAGTCACACACTCACACAGAGACAGTCACACACTCACACACAGTCACACACTCCCAGTCACACACTCACAGACAGTCACTCACACACAGACAGTCACACACTCACACAGGCAGTCACACACTCACAGGCAGTCACACACTCACACAGAGACAGTCACACACTCACACACAGTCACACAGTCACACACTCACACAGGCAGTCACACACAGACATTCACACACTCACACACAGTCACACACTCACAGTCACACAGTCACACACTCACACAGGCAGTCACACTCAGACAGTCACACACTCACAGGCAGTCACACACTCACACAGAGACAGTCCCACACTCACAGGCAGTCACACACTCACACAGAGACAGTCCCACACTCACAGGCAGTCACACAGAGACAGTCACACAGAGACAGTCACACAGAGACAGTCACACAGAGACAGTCACACACAGTCACACAGAGACAGTCACACACTCACACAGAGACAGTCACACACTCACAGGCAGTCACACACTCACAGACAGTCACACACTCACAGACAGTCACACACTCACACAGGACAGTCACACACTCACAGGCAGTCACACACTCACAGTCACACACTCACAGTCACACACTCACAGTCACACACACACAGTCACACACACACAGTCACACACAGTCACACACACAGTCACACACTCACAGGCAGTCACACAGAGACAGTCACACACTCACACACAGTCACACACTCACACAGAGACAGTCACACACTCACACACAGACAGTCACACAGACAGTCACACACTCACAGGCAGTCACACAGAGACAGTCACACACTCACACAGAGACAGTCACACACTCACACAGAGACAGTCACACACTCACATAGAGACAGTCACACACAGACAGTCACACACTCACACTCACACACTGACCTCCTTCTTCCCTCCTGCTTGGAGCTCCTGCAGGCTGGTTGTTGGGGAAGCCCGGGGGCGGGGCTAACGGGGCCCCCGCCGCACGCTAAGCCCCGTTAGCCCCGCCCCGTCACACTAAGCTCCGCCCCGCCGCAATTTTTTTTTTTTTTTTTATGATCCCGGCGGGCCGTGTGTGAGCTGTGCCGGCCGGCTCCCCCTGCTCCCATGGGGCTCTGTGCGGCCGGAGCTGTCAGCCCAATGATTAGGGCTGTCAGACCGGCCCCAGGTGCCGCGGCCCACCGGGAAATTTCCCGGTATCCCGGTGGGCCAGTCCGGCCCTGGTGAGTGTGTGTGTGTGTGTCTGTCAGTGAATGTGTGTGTCTGTCAGTGAGTGTGTGTGTCTGTCAGTAAGTGTGTCTGTGTGTGTGTCTGTCAGTGTGTGTGTGTCTGTCAAAGAGTGTGTCTGTCAGTGAGTGTGTGTTGGTCAGTGTTGCGATGCCTGCAGCTAGACGGTGGAAGACCTGGAGGTGCACGGAGGCACGTAACACCACGTCACATTCCGACGTGACGTCAACACGCTCCATCGTCACAGGGTTTCAAGGAGTAGTGGGAGGATCCGCTTTGGGACAGGGTGCAGATGGCGCATTTGGGGGTATACCAGAGGCCGGACTCTGGAGTCGCATACTGGCAGTGGAGTGAGTGTGAGTGGAGTCTGCTTGTTGGCTAATATTTTTTTTTTAAAACAAGGGCTAGGGTTTAGTAGAGGGGAGTGCTGGGATTTAGTAGGGGGGGACTGGGATTTAGTATCGAGGGGGGGACTGGGATTTAGTATAGAGGGGGGACTGGGATTTAGTAGGGGGAACTGGGATTTAGTATAGAGGGGGGGACTGGGATTTAGTATAGGGGGGGGACTGGGATTTTGTATAGAGTGGTGGCTGGGGTTTAGAATAGGGGGACTGGGTCTTAGAAGATTGGGATGGTAGGGTTTAGTAGAGGGGATGCCAGGTTTTTTTTTTTATACTGTACTTTTCAAAACAAACCTAAGTTTCTATGAAAATTTTTGTTTTTGGTTTTTTTGCGGCCCACATAAACGTAAACCCTGTTTATTTAGCCCGTGTTGTCCTTTGAGTTTGCCATGCTTGAGCTAGAGGGTCTCTGAAGTAGCATTTCTGTTGGGTTCAGTGGACGGGTGTTTCTGAGCTGGAATACAGGGGGGATCTGACTTGCAGTATGACTTGGCACAGGGTGGGCATAGATACATGCCAGCTATAAACGCATGGCACACACAGAAAACACTAATATGTTACTGCCCTGTATAGCAGGGGGCACACTGCTTGGCAGTACAGTGTGTACTTTAATAACCACATAACCACACAGGAAGCCGGAATGTAGGGCCCCCATGCAGGGCACATGGGGCACGCGGAGCAGAGGGCAGCAAACAGTGGGCACTTCAGCATGGACTTGGCACAGATGTCACAAATCAAGGTTTCAACTTCCTGAAAAAGCCTTTAATTGATTATAAGACATCAAAGACCTCGTACTCATCCACTCACAACCAATACTGGGGAATTAACAGGAGATATTCATAGATTGATCAAATCATCTCCAAAACGATGTTATATTATAAAAGGAAGTTTTAAACCCAGCTTCCCAGGACAGAAGATAAATATCACCCAAATATAAATCTGTATTTAATGCTACGGGAAGAATAGTCACGTTATTTTTATCCATTCTTATTATCCTGTATGCCATGTTTGAATGCTTCATGTAGATAAATTATGAAATCCTAAGTTTACAAAAAATAATATAAACTTCACATCTCTAGATTGTAAGCTCTTTTGAGCAGGCTCCTCATCGATTATTGTGTAAATTTCTAATAGTTTGTCTCATTTGTTAAATCCCACATTTATATTACTGTAATGCACTCTGGAATAAGTTGGCAATATATAAATGCTCCACATACTCAGTATCACTTGCTGTATCCCCCCATACTCCGTATCCCTCGCTGTATCCCCCCATACTCCGTATCCCCCCATACTCTGTATCCCTCGCTGTATCCACCCATACTCTGTATCCCTCGCTGTATCCCCCCGTACTCTGTATCCCTCGCTGTATCCACCCATACTCTGTATCCCTCGCTGTATCCCCCTACACTCTGCATCCCTCGCTGTATCCCCCCATACTCCGTATCCCTCCATACTCCGTATCCCTCGCTGTATCCCCCCATACTCTGTTATCCTCGCTGTATCCCCCCCATACTCTGTATCCCTCGCTGTATCCCCCTATACTCTGTATCCCTCGCTGTATCCCCCTATACTCCGTATCCCTCGCTGTATTCCCCCTACACTCTGTATCCCTCGCTGTACCCACTCCGTATCCCTCGCTGTATTCCCCCTACACTCTGTATCCCTCACTGTCTCCCCCCCCATACTCTGTATCCCTCACTGTATTACCCCATATTCTGTATCCCCCCCCATACTCTGTAATCCTCGCAGACTGTAACAATGTAACATTAGAAACATGCGGATACTCTCTTTCCCTGGCGTTATCTCTCACTATCTCTCTGGAACTCACCTCTTTTGCTTTACCCTGGGTACCAACAACTAGTTTAGAGTTACTAGTCTGCGAGACATCCGACGCAGCCACTACCACGATGCACAGAGAGACATATCCGCACAGCACCCACAGCCTCATGGCTCCCAATTCTGCAAAACCTGACTGGGGACACCAAGATCTCTACTTGATTAGTGTTAGAAAACTATTCTGAAATTCCTAAACCCTCTCTGCCCTCCCCCTCTTCCTGTGATCAATGCTTCAGGCAGTTTCATACATCCCTCCCTCCCCCTTCCCTTCTGGAAAACAGAACATGTGTTCAATACTGAGCTGTGTCCTGCAACACACAATAACACAAAGCAACACGAGGTAACACAAAGCAACACTAGCAAACACATAATAACAAAGCAACGCAAGGTAACACATAATCACACAAAGCAACACAGGGCAACAAAAAATAAAGCAACACGCGGTAACGAGCTTGCAGTCTAGATGAGGTGGGGTACAAATACACAACAGGGCAGCAAGGGTGACAGCCACCAAACAAGGTGGAAAAGTAGCAAAGCTAGAGGTGAGAGTGGAGTGTGGCTCTTTAGGAGAGCAAGAGACAGACTTGGGTTAGTTTAGATAAATCACTCCGGGCGTCCGTAAGCATTTCTGTACAGATGTGTTTTGAGGGACTTCTTAAACAATTAAAGCCCTGGGGGAGAGTCTGATGGGGGTAGGCAGGCTGTTCCAAAATAAGGGAGCTGCCCGCAAGAAGTCCTGCAAGCGAAAGTTAACAGTAAGGGTGCGAGCAGCGGACAGGAGAAGGTCACCAGCAGAGCCAAGAAATCGAGAAGGGGCATATCTATGAATCAGGGAAGAAATGTAAGAGGGGCTAGAGTTGGTTAGAGCTTTATGGGTAAGGGTTAGTATTTAGAATTGACACCTATATGATACAGGAAGCCAGTGTAAGGTTCGACAGAGGGGCGAGGTATGGGAGGAGTGACGGCTGAAAAAGATCAGCCTGGCGGCAGCATTCATAAACGATTGTAGGGGGGCAGTTCGGCTTTTGGGGAGTCCAAGTAGGAGAGAGTTACAGTAGTCCATGCGATAGATTACCAGAGCATAAACACTCCCTGGCAGCATCTTGCGTGAGAAAGGGACGGATACGGGCGATATTTTTAAGTTGGAATCGAAAGGTTTTAGCAACATCCTGGATATGTGGGCAAAGGTGAGGCCAGGATCAAAGATAACGCCAAGACAATGAGCTTGCAAGGATGGACTTATGCAAGCACCATCAACTTGCAGGGAGAGCGAAGGAGGAGGATCAGCATTATGAGGGGGAGGTGGAATAAGAAGCTCAGTTTTAGAGAGATTGAGTTTCAGAAAGCGGGAGGACATCCAATCAGAGCCGTGACACGTTGCAGGACCATTTCTATTCTGTAATGCCCACCTCCGCTTCGCCCAGTCTCTTACAGACTCCTCCCCTCACGACAAACCTCCTCTGTGAGGACTATTCTCCATAGCCAGCACTTGCAGCATAAGCTAGGAAGTTACCATAGCAACTGCATGCGTAGCCTAGGACAAAATTGATAACGACAACCTGGAGCTAGGTGCTCTGGTTGCCGGACTTTGCTATAGGTGGTATTTTACACTCGAACAGGAATGAGATGGACTAATGAGGCACAGACCACAACTATCATGGACGTTGCTGGAATCCTTAGACTTATTTTTATCACAAATATTATCCCAGAGTAATATACAGAAATAATTTAACCCCTTAAGGACACATGACATGTGTGACATGTCATGATTCCCTTTTATTCCAGAAGTTTGGTCCTTAAGGGGTTAATAACATTCCCAAAACACAAATGGCTGTATAAATGAGAAGTAGAAGTGAATTATTTGTTTTTCCTTCTTACAAGGCGAGGTTAGGACAAATCATGTAACAGTTTTACTTATTTTGAACTTATTCGAGATAGGTGAAGTCTAAACCTGCTGGCAACCAGAAATGAACCCACTCAGCTCCTGACGGCCAGGCTGGGCACTAAAAAAAGGAGATTTCTGGAATTCGAAATGAATTTCATGTTTTACACCAAATAAGCCGACATGGAAACAATTTGTCTACTTTGGCCTAAAATTTGGAATTAATTTTAAATTCTTGGCAATTTACGCAGATTTTAGGAGTTTGTGGTAAAATGTAACACAATGGGCTGCTAAGTAAATAAATCCCTGAGTCTGGACACATTTCTAGAGGAGATGCAGTGGGTATAACGTCACGTGGCAGCCGTCTGTGAGCAATCCTTCTTATAGTAACCCGAAAATTGCAAATTCTGGATCGATTGGTGGTTGGGATGGAGAGAGATTATTTAAAACATTGCTCTAAAGTCTTTACGTAGAAAGCTAGTCCCAAAAACCTACGAAATAAACCAACTCACGGATAATTTAATCATCTGCGTTTCATTTCTTATTATTCATTTAGAAAAGCTGAGGCAGTGCTGCTAAACATCAGTTTATTCCTTGGAAGTCATGGAATTAATGCAAACAGTATGTGACAGAACAAATTAAAAGAGAACAAAGGGTGGATTCGGTGACACACAAAGGTTATTCACTAAACACAAACATTGTGCGAGTCCGAAAACTACATTGTAAAACTTCCACTAAAATAGGCCAACTGTGACTATCACAAAATGGAAGATCATTTGGTTTCTAATGTAAGTGACTGCAAGCAGAGAATTGATTAATAAAGAATAGTGGATTATGGCTTTAATTACTGACTTTATTTACACCGCGCTCCCACACATGTTGTGCTCAGAGACAGCTTTTTTTCTTTTTTTTTTTTAATTCTTTTTTTTTTTCATAGCCAATAACAAAGCGCACTTTTGTGACAAAGCTAAGGCTTTCGCAGAAGCCGCTGCATGAATGCATATTCTTGCCAAGGTATAGGCTTACGCAGAAGCCGCAATAGAGGTACATACTTTGATAATTGTATAGGCTTATGCAGAAGCTGTTTTCAAGTGGTTCAGTTGTATAAAGAAGAAGAGCGATACTCTAAGACTAATATGCATGTTTACTAACGCTTCCATTCTCGTCAGTGGTTAATTTGTTATTTTGTGTTTTAGCACAACAACTCTACATGGCTTGTCAATCGGGTCTTGGTTTGAGTACACATGTCACTTTGATTGGCATGGTATTAGACAGTTGCTATCTAATAATTGTGACGGTAGTAGAAAATATCCCCGTCAAGCATTCCCTTCTTCCCATAAAAGAAAAGCACTCAATATTCCATAAGCAGAAATATCCCTGGAATCGCCGAATAATCCACACATGAGCCAAAGCTTAATGCTGGAACAAGACTGATTTACTGGCACACAGAACTCACAATTTATGCAACACAAAACTCCTCCTCTGGGCCAGGCTAGATAATTGAGTTTCTACAATACACAAAGCTCAATTATCTGCTGGCCAGAAACATTACAATTTTTACAGCATTCATAACTTCTAAAATATACATCACAGGGACCCCAAAACATGCAATAACCCCATAAAAAGTATATCCTTGGAACCGGGGGATCTGGGTGAACCACATATCCAAAATTCACCCAGATCCGTTCAGTACTTTGGAAAATACAGTTTAATGCAGATTCTGCAGAACATATACAGGCTAAATGAAAAACAATCACTGTATAATGTGTCCCCTGCTGTATAGTCCAAAACCACTGCACGATGTCTCTGTGCACCAAATACTGGCGAGATGGCACCGTGTTGAAAAGTCCAAACAGTGTCTGTGAGTTAAAATGGTCTGCCATCCATTGTTCTCACCATGTGCTTCTGATACAGGAAATGGTGGCCACCGAGTAACTCCACAGTATGTCCCCAGATGGTTCTTAAAGGGCCAGCAGCACCACAACACAAATCCATTTTGCCCAAATCATGTCTTTAAAGGGCAATACATCCCAGGGGCCATAGTCACAGGGCAAGAGGCGGGCAAGCAGCCCTCTCCAGGCACAAGTGGCGAAGGGCACTTCGTCACACATCTTCCCTTTAGGGGGAAGACTAAACAGGTACCTGACCTTCTGCCGGTCAGTACCTAGATTAGTCGGGCAGCCCACCCACAAAGAAAAATACGCAGAGTAACCCCCCCCACAATAAATGGTACTGGCCTGTAGGTTCAAGTTTGTAGTGGGACAGCGCAGCACTCTCGGTCTCCCTGGTGCAGCTAGGCAAACTGCTGGTGTTGCTTGGGGGGCAGAGGCCAGCGGCGCTCTGCCCTGCTGCCAGCTCTTCCACTGGGGTAACCCGTGGTAAGTCAGGCTCTGATACAGGGGAAAAGGGGGGGCAGAGGCTAACAGAGCTCTGCCCAGATGCCAGCTCTTCTGCTGGGAGGGGGTCAGTGGGTATCGCAGGCTCATCCACTGCCCCCAGGACCCAGTTGGGATGTAGCTGGGGAGGGGAAGTTTCGCTTACCTCCTCCTCCTGGCATCCCTGCGGGGTTGGTTGGGGATCTGGACCGCCCGTCCAGCCTCCCTGTAGGACTGGCACAGAGACCGCGGTCCCATCTGCGCCAGTGTGGTTAGGTTTGTCTTCCCCCTCTCCCGGTATCTCTGGCTGCTGTTGGAGGGGGAGGCTGGTTGCCCCCACACCCCAGGACGCTGGTTGCTGTAAGGTAGAGGGATCGACCATCACCTCCTCCTGGAACTCAGGCCGCCGCTGGGGAGTACAGTTTAATGCAGATTCTGCAGATCATATACAGGCTAAATGAAAAACAATTACTGTATAATGTGTCCCCTGCTGTATAGTCCAAAACCACTGCACGATGTCTCTGTGCACCAAATACTGGCGAGATGGCACCGTGTTGAAAAGTCCAAACAGTGTCTGTGAGTTAAAATGGCCGCCATCCATTGTTCTCACCATGTGCTTCTGATACAGGAAATGGTGGCCACCCAGTAACTCCACAGTATGTCCCCAGATGGTTCTTAAAGGGCCAGCAGCAGCACAACACAAATCCATTTTGCCCAAATCATGTCTTTAAAGGGCAATACATTCCAGGGGCCATAGTCACAGGGCAAGAGGCAGGCAAGCAGTCCTCTCCAGGCACAAGTGGCGAAGGGCACTTCGTCACAATAATTATTTAACATTTCCTAACATTCCTACAGGTAGAACATATATGAAACTAAACATTGCGCTTAGTGATACGGTAAGTCGGTGTATCCGTGTCCGCAGCCCGGACGAGGGTCGTCGTGTGCCCCCTTGCCACCTTTCCCATGTGAGTGCTTGATT